ACTGCATGGAGTCTGCAGCCATGCAAGAGATTTGAGGTTATCTTTTGACTCTTGCAGTCTCTTTTTTTTTTATTAAAAAGCTTAGCATCATAAATGTAGTAATAAGAAACGAATTTATCTTGACAAAAGTGCTACTATAAACTATTCTGCCATTATAAAATAACCTTTTAAAATTATTGTTTCTGCTGGTATCCATACATTTATGCAAAGCACTTAAAGGTCAGGCATTGCCGGAAAATGTCTTTTTCAATTGTTAATTAAAGGTTCATAGGAACAAGCACCGGGTTTACTCTCTTAACAAAAGGAAAAGACGTCTTCTTCCCAGAAATAGAAGGCAAAGTCAGAACAGGAAATCAGGAAAAGAAGGCCCATGCAGTTGTATGGAGAAGTAATCTGCACCATTCAAGTCAGGGTGGGTGAGTGGTGCAGTGGCCTAGAGCTTGGAGCTCTTGCCTCACAATCAGGAGGCTGTGAGTTCAATCCTAAGTAGAGGCAATGTTCTGACCCAAACCCCTTTCCAATAAAACAAACACAAACCAAAGGGAAGAGAAACAGTTTAATGATTCTTATTAATCCCCGGTTAAAAGTCTGCTGCAAACTAATTAACTTTGATAAGCACGAGCCTCGCCAAAACTGTGCGAGGCAACCAAGAATAACAGATCAGGTTACCTAGAAATATTTTACAACACAAGAGTCTTCAAATACCAACTAAGATACTGAAATGTCCACGAGTCTTTGCTTCCTGCAAAGAACGTCTGATTCACAGCTGGCTCCACGAAGGAGGGGCCATTACCTTGTAGCCTTACTCCCGAGTCGCCCATGCTGCTGCAGCTGCTCTTTCCTGTGATCAATCCTGTGCACACGCGCACTTGGCACAGGCTCCTTGGGAACCTCCTCATCGCTGCTGCCAGCCTGCACAATCTCTGAAGGCAGCAGTACATTCTCTAATGGTCCTGGCCCCTCATCTGAGTCCTCGCTCTCCTCAGCCGTCCGCACCTGCTGCCGGCGAACCACAATAGGCAGATATTTCTCTCTCTGGCCCATTGAGATTATATCTGCTGAATATAACTCCTCATTGGCGACAGGAAGGGTATCTGGCCAATAAGCACTCGTCTCCATTCAGTTGCCCAGGGTCCACCCTGGGATTATGGGGGTCATTAAAAGATGATGGGGATGGGGCTGATTCAAGTCAGGGTGGGTGAAAGCAGTGGTGGAATTCAAAATATTTTACTACTGGTTCTGGGGGGCGCGTCCGGAGCATTTCAAAATGGGCAATTATAAGCATGAAAACCTATCTTATTAACAGCGCTGGTGAGTAAAACAGCTGAGGCTCAGCAATCCACTCTGCCGCGCCTATCAGCTAAACTACAAACAAAGGAAATATAGGACAGGAAAGGGAGGGTGCAGGTGGGCGGGGCCAACTGCCGACCAACGCTATCGGATCACTAGAACCAGTGCGAACCAGCAGCATGCCACTACTGGGTGAAAGCTTGGACAGGTGCTTGCAGAAATGCAGTTAATCCTTGACTTACGACCGGCCGCTTAGCAAGAGGTCAGAGTTACATAGTTTACCCCCCAAAATACTTCAGACCTGGATTTGAAGGTCTGATTTACATCTCCACCCCTCCCCCATGATTATATGCTTGCATCTTGGGTGCTCAGCAATTGGCTAGCATTTATGATCGTTTACAGTGGTCATCTGAGCATGATTTATGACATTTTTTTTTGTCAGAAAGTGGTGTTTACTTCTGTGTCCGGCTAAAAACACTCAGGTGCAGATGATGGATATGACCGGCTTAATTATTGTTGTAAGTCGAGGACTACCCTGTATCGTGAATGAGTTTTACTCCCAGTTTATTTATGAACCTGTTCTCATAAAAATACAAAAAAGGAGAAAAGAACGGATACTAGGCCATTCCGCTTAGCCTCTGAGCTGGGAATTCACAAAGAAATTGAGTTTTACCACAGCTTTGATGGTTTAAGCTCCCGCGTCCTTCAGTGCTCTATCTTCTGTTCTTGTCAACTTCCAACTGAGCAGATATGACATAAAGCTACTTAAATTCTTGCTAATATGTAAGCTAAAAACTTGCTGTTTGCTCTCTATTTAGATATTAAGCCAAATACATTGAGAGTTTTTTATTGGGATAATTAACTGTAGCCAAATTTCTGTGTGAAGCTTTCCAGAAATAATCACAATGTTGCAAGGAATGGGAAAATTGGAAGGGGTTATCTTGATTCTAGCAAGATGTTGGGCTGAACTTAGTTTGACAAGGCAGAAACCATGGCTGATGGTAAATTTTAATAGCAGAGCTAGTTCTCATTGTCCATTGCATAGAAAAGTAGCATTTTGAACTGGTTACACACAGTGCCTTCACCTGGACAAGGCAAACGGAATTCCTGTATCCAAAATCTGTACTACTTGAGGCACTTGAATACATTCAAGATTAGCCCTGTGCATAATGCATCAGTAACAAAATGTGGAAGTTAGTTTTGTGTTCCTAACCAAGACAGAGCTGGAAGCAGTAATCAGGGCTTCAAGATACTCTTCTTGGAAAAGCATTTCCAAGCTAAACACCATACCTCTTTATTTGCACAATCAGTTGTACATAGCAATTTTAAATTCTTTTAACACTTTCACTCTGCAGGTTCATCTACAGTTTATTACCTACCATTTCGATCAAACTTGGTAACTCTAAGATGCGTAAACTTTAACTCCCAGAATTCCCCAGCCACCCAGGTCAAAACTTCTCCTGAGTTTGAGGATGAAAAATAGAACTCGCCTTCTCACTGAGATTTGAAAATGTAGGATGGCTGTTGCACGCCTCCATGCATGCAAGGGTGGGATTCTACCGGGTCGGACCGGTTCTATAAGACAGGTTGTTATGATTCTGCGCAGTTCAGAGAACGGGCAAATCGTGCCCCTGGCTGGCCCCGCCCCTCCCCTCCCAGTCAGTCCTTATTGCGCATGTGCAACATTGCGCGCATGCCCGACTTCACTGATTGCGTTCTTTCCTAACCAGTCACTCCTTAAGGTATTTCTTTTCCCCCCCCCCGCCTCTCTCCTGACGATCAGCTGTTCCTATGATCAGCTGTGCCAGGATTCCCCTCGCTTACTTACTGCTTCGCCCAGGAGGCTTCCCTGAGGCCCAGGAAGGCAAAAAAAAAGGGAGGGGGAGCTGCAGCCCCACTGCCCCCTCCATTTTTTTTGCCTTTCTGTGCCCAAGGAAAGCATCCAGGGAGCAAAAACACCCCCCAGGAGGCTCCCCGGGAGGCCCAGAAGGTCCCAAAATGGAGTGCGGGGGTGGTGGTGCTGCGAGCCCCCCCTCTATGCTCGGGTTTTTTTCCTTCCTGAGCCCAAGGGAAGCCTTCTGGGAGCAAAAACACCCCCCAGGAGGCTTCCCTGGGGCCCAGAAGGCCCCCAAAACGGGGGGGTGGTGTCTTTGTTTTTAATTCTTGCTTTTGATTTATTTGTATTTTAATGTATTGTATGTATTGTATTTTATTTGTACCAAGACAAATTCCTTGTATGTCCAATCACACTTGGCCAATAAAGAATTCTATTCTATTCTGTGCATACATATATTTTGACGGTAAGCCGCCCAGAGTTACCTTATGGTAAGATGGGCAGCCAATACATTTTATAAATAAATAAACAAATAAACAAACAAGTGAGTGAGTAGGAGTGAGAGAAAGAAATAAGAGTAAAAGTAAAAGTGATTTTCCATTAGGACTCCCAAGATCCCTCTCACAGTTACTGCTTTTGAGCCAGGTATCACCTAATCTGTATTTGTACATTTGGTTTGTCTTGCCTAAGTGTAAAATCTTACTTTTCTCTACATTAAATTTATCTACGTTAAATAGAGCACTATCTTTCTCACCTCCACCTGAAATAGTAGCAACTCCCATGGTGAGTGGGGTGTGAAGAGTGTTTTTATCCTCATTTTAGTAATGGTCAGAGCTACATCATAAATAACCAGTTTTTGCCCTTATGAGTTACGTTGATATATCATCTGCATATGCTTAACTCATTCCAGCTGAAATCAATAGTATTAAAAATGTTTGGCTGGATGGTACAATAAATAAATAAGCAATATACATTGGTTTTTTTCACATTATTATGTTATCTCCTGATTATTACTCACCTGCTTCTTTTTCTCCATCCTCAGCGGACTGATAAATAAAATAAACATTTTTTTAAAAATCAACACATAAAATTCCAAGATAGTTGTGTGCAGAATCTGCTGAACAGCTCATCAGCAAAATTCAGATGGAAGTTGCATATTAGATATGCATACAGAAAATAATAGAAATAAACATCAGACATGATCTACCCTATGTTTTTTTTAATACCTTCCCATGTTAAATATTAAACAGCCAAGTTTTAATATTAAGAGGTTGGTAAACTTTAAGTACATATTGTTTAGCACTAAAAATTTCATGAGTGAAGAATACCATAATTTGTCTCCATTCTCCTGAGAAGTAATAGCATGCTTCTTCAGGGAAATAAATTGGTAGCATTTTCTGAGCATGTAGGTGACAGAACTAATGATAACTTCAAATGAATTTAGCTACACAAAGAAACTGTTTGGCTGAGTTGTTCTTTTCCTCTTTTTTATTTTTTAAAAATTCTCTGTGCTTTTGGTTTTCCTTCAGTGTTTTTCTGTTCTCCAGAACTCATTTAGCTGCTGAAATGAACTGGGATTTGGGTTTTTCAGGGAAGGAAAAGTGGGACAAGGAAGGAAAGGCAATTGAGAAGCAAATTGTGTTTTTTGGAGATATTTCTTCACTCTGATTTTAGTTTTTAAACATTGGTTGCTTATCTGATTGGTCCCAGAAAGAAAGTGTCTGTTTGGTTGGGCTTTTATAGGTGACAACTTGTCTTATCACGGCCTGGGTTTTCTATAACTCTCTGGGTTAGGCAAAGTCTTGAGCCCTGAACCAAGGAAGTCGATGAATTGTATAATAAATGCTTTTGTTTTTTCTTTTAATTTTCCTGGCAGGCTTTGGGAACCATTACTTCAGTGCCGATTAAAGTTCCTCAGGTCAGTTCCTTGCAGAGGTTGGCAGGACAAAGACCAGCAGTGCTACCTCAGGTAGGAGAGTTAATTACTTTGATTTTATTGGCTTTCAAAAAAGATACAGTTAAAAGATAAGCTGTAATCAAGGAGTACCTGAATTGTTAGTTATAAATGCTACATTTTAAAAAAGAAACTATGATCAGCTCTAATGTTAATCTCTTTCAAGGAAGGTTTTTTTTTCCTCTTCCCTTCCTTTTTTTATAAATGTCATTATGATGCAATACATTCTATATTAACACTCTGGAAAACTTCCCCTCTCTTTATTACTGGACTACCCAAGCTGTTGAAGCACTGTTTGGGGGTGAATATTTTTGAGATTAGTCTTCTTCCTTGATGTGGAAATAGCTACAGGATAATGGTTATTGCCTTTAACAGATTTAACAGATTAATAGAGTTAGAAGGGGCCTTGTAGGTCATCTAGTCCAATCCCCCCCACCCAGGCAGGAGATCCTACATCATTTCTGATAGATGCCGGTCCAGTCTCTTCTTGAAAGGTTCCAGCAGTGAAGCTCCCACAACTTCTGAAGGCAACTTCTGTCCCATTGGTTGATTGTAATTAAAAATTACAATGCAAGGTTAGAGTGAGTAGGAGGGATGAGTGCTGAAGAAGTTAGAACTCTAAAGGAGTTTACTGCATGGAATACTAAACTGTAGTTATGTGAACAAGCTGGTTTGTGAACTGTGATTGTCTCTTCCCGCAGTCTCTTGTGTCTGTCTATCCTCTGTGCAGCCAAGCATAATTTTGCAGAAGACTATTTCATTCAAACATATTGAGCAGCCGTTTGTTCAGATAGTAACTGAAAATCACAATCCAATTGTGGATTTTATGCTTTTTTAATGAAGAAGAATGTTTTCAAGGACAAGAATGAAGGAGCAAGACTTTAACTTTACATCACCACTGAACATACAATTTAATAAAAGATGTGTACTGAATGGCTGATTTTTACTGTTTTTCTTATGCACCTTTTTAATGAGCGCTTCCAAATTTTCACAGAGGAACCTCAAAAGATTTCCAATGGGGACTATGAAAAAATCATATCTGGAAATGAAATGAAATCAGCTTTCTTTTCAAAAAACATTATTTCAGACTGCCATCTGATTAAATTTCCTGAGCATAAGTATTGAAGAAGCAGAGGGCATACATTTCATCATGTCTACTCGACTCTACTTTAGATTTGAGTGCATAACCTCCTCTTTATACTTTTATCATCATTTAACATATGTTTGCAGTATATATTGTTGGGGCCTTTCTAAAAATAAAATATCTAATCCTTTAATTATATATTTTAACACTTAGTTAAAGTTCACTGGCACAATGTGTAACGTGAGGATTAAAACGGTTCAGTAAGAAAATTATGCTAATTTTTCTTAGCCTCTGGGGCAGGGCAACTATTTCATTTTTACAAAATTTAAGCTGTGCACACAGTGGCACTTTATTTGTTATATGTAAAAATGAATTATTTTGAAATGGTTTGAAAACAGGTGAAAACTTAAGATGTAGGTAGAATGTAGCTGAATTTTCACAAGGGGGCAGCAAAGGCCCAGGGTTAATCTGAGCTATCAGTTCACATATGCAATAGAATTTCTTTAGGATTTTGTACAAGGCAGTGTGAAATTTTATCTGCATATGTACATTAATGCAATGCTGTCAAATGTACTTAAACTAGCCTAATTATAGCATTCATTCTGTTGTGCTAATAAGGTACATTAATGTAGATTGAATTATTTTATCATTAGTACAGATAATCCTCAACATAATAACAGTTCGTTTAGTGGCTGTTCAAAGTTAAAACATCTTTACTATTGTACTATGCCAACTTTGCTGTGCATATACCCTAATGAAGTGTTTCCCAATCTTGGCAACTTTCAGATGCATGGACTTCAACTCTCAGAATTCCCCAGCTAGCAAGGTTGAGAAACACTGCCATGAGGTGTAGACCCCAAAGTTTCACAAGCATTAAAATGAGATCTGAGGGAGGCGACAAACATGCATGGGGCCTAAGAAGGAAAGAGATTGCAAGAGAAACGAGCTCCATTAGGAAAAATGATTTGCAGGGGTAAAAGATGGAGGCAGGTACTGATGTGGTAATAAGGGCATGAATTCCTCCAGGTAATACTGAAGAATGACTGCTAGGTGATTCATCATTAGCTGAGCTGACTGGAACCAATTCGAGTTGTTCAGCAGCTGGACACAGACATCCTTTCTGCAGGATTCTTCCTCTCTGTTAAGAAATCAAGACACAAGTGTCTTGATGATTAGGGGTCTGGGGACTAAAACATGAAGAACAGTTGCAGGAACTGGGCATAACTAGTCTAGTGAAGAGAAAGACCAGGGGAGATATGATAGCAGTCTTCCAATACTTGAGGGGCTGCCACAGAGAGGAAGGGATCAGGCTATTTTCCAAAGCACCCAAAGGCCAGACAAGAAATAATGGATGGAAACTGATCAAAGAGAGATTCATCTTGGGAATAAGGAGAAATTTTCTGACAGAACAATCAACCAATGGAACAGCCTGCCTTCAGAAGTTGTGGGAACTTCATCATTGGAGGCTTTCAAGAAAGAGGTTGGACTGCCATTTGTCACAAATAGTGTAGGGTCTCCTGCTTGGATGGAGGGTTGGACTAGATCATCTAAAAGGTCCCTTCCAACTCTGTTAATCTGTAATCTATAAGTATTACCATATGAGCTATATCACATTGTATTGCCATGGAGCTGGAACTACCAGAATCAGTACTGATGTGTGTGCAAATAGGGCAGCCCTTCTGCCCGTCTTTGCCTCTTTTCTTCAAACTGCAATAGCTAAAATCTACTTTTGCATGCTGAAAAGCAACAGCACAGGCAGTTATTTTCAGTATCCAATTATTGGGAAACAAACAGTGCTGAGAGCAAGTGGATTGGAAGAAACTGAATGTAACTGTGTAGCACAATAAATCATTCGTGCAGGATCTTAAGTATACAGCACATTGTTTACTTAATTACATCCACAGAAAGCATTGTAGTTACCTGAAGACCATCTTTGTTGGAAAATGTCTTTTGAATGTCACACAGAAGGCTCTCTGGAGTGTTCTTAGATTATTTTTTTTTTTTACAAAACTATTTTTCTCTCTCTATTTTGGATTGTCTTCTTGCCTTCCTCATTCCACCTCTGTTCGCTTCTTTAAAGAAATAAAGTAGGAAACTTAGCTTCTGTTGATGAATCTCAGCACCATTCAAAAAATATTCACCTTATTATATATAGTCTAAGGATAGCTACTCCAAGGAATATTTCCTACAGCAAACATGCTTGTCAAATATGGAACAAACAAAGGTGATGGTTTGGCTTGTCATTTTTCAATGACACACTTGGCGTTCTGTTGATGACTTCCTACAATTTCTTCCTGTCAGAGGAGAAGATTATTTAGCACCAAGTCTGATTACGCTATGAATAAGGTGCAAAAGATCAGAATGATAACATCCATTTTGTTCTTGGCCTCAACTTGGAACCAAGCTTTCCATACACTAATTGTAGGCGCAGTATTTTTTTTTTAAAAAAAATCATCTTCACGTTCAGGATATTTCTTCATCATGGAGGAGGACTTTCAGACGAAACTTTGAATTGTCTCTCATATGTCTATCTTCTTTGTTGATGGATTTCACTTGTTTTATCAACAGAGAGATCAGATGGTCTATCCTTGTTATTACCCAGGAAGATGATTAATTAATCTGATTTACAGACTATCCTACTAGAGTAAGGAATTCAAGGTGGTGTACAATGTTGTAGAAAACCCAGTGAGTTTCCGCAGCTGAGAAAGGGGTTTCTGGTCCCAATCCAATAGGGCACCACACTTGTCTTTTGCCAGGTGATATGGCAGATTCACATCCAAACTTCCAGAAGGCATTTTATGTTGTATCCCACATCAGGGGCTCTGATTTCTCTTGTGCATCTAGTTCATCTGCAGTTAGAACAGGAATTGCAGTCCAGATGCTTTGTAGGTTAAACTAACTTCTGTCCGGGTGGGGCTGGCTTCATCTTCGATAAATTTCATTGCACCTAGAAGTTGTTCCTACTGGTGAACATTTTTCACAGTTTTTGCTATTCATGAACCACAACCTTAGGTGCTTCTTGAACTGTGAACCCTCTGCTGCCCAATCGTTGCGTTCAGGCTCCCTGTTGAGACTCCTTCCATCTGCTTTGCTGAAAGGCAAATTTAATAGGCTCCTTTGAGGAATACAGCTGCGCTTCTAACTCAGAGACGGGTGAAAGAGTTGGGCAAGCTCTGCTATATACAGGTTTTATAAAGATCAATGCGATAACCGTATTGTCTTTTACGTAAACTTTCCAGGCTATCCAGAATAGCAAGAGCACTTAGACTTCTATATCACTTCACAGTGCTTCACAGCCATCTCTAAGTGGTTTACGGAGTCAGCCTACAATTTGGGTCCTCAATTGCCCCCAACAATTTGGGTCCTCATTTAACCCACCTCGGAAGGATGGAAGGCTGAGTCAACCTTGAGCCTGATGAGATTCGAACTGCCAAATTGCAGGTAGCTGGCAGTCAGCAGAAGTAGCCTGCAGTACTGTAACCACTGTGCCACTGTGGCTCATTTCTTCCCAATATTTTCTTAGAGATAGTAATCTGTTCCCAGCTAAAAGGCATCAAAATGTGCCGGGGTAATGGAGTACAGCAGCAGATAATGAGTAGTGTCAGCTAATCAAGTAATCTGTCTCTTTTTTTGCCTGTTTATAATATATAATCTATGACATTAATCTTAATATTTATTTTGTTATTGCATTATTGTATGGCTGTTCTACATCTGTAGCCTATTTTATGTTGATGGCAACTAAACCATTCATTCATTCATTTTTATGCCAAGGGCTTTTCTACCCTAAAAAAGGTATCTTAAGGGTGATTGCCTTTGTATGTCTTCAGACGTTTCTCACAGTGAACCTTTCATTGAGTTTGGTCAAGAAAATTGATTTATAACAATTATTCTGGAAGATGCTTATTTTCAAATGGCATTCAGTCTGTGTCCCAAGTTATATTTGTCCTCGATAGAAAGTATACAGTATACAGTGCATAATACATATGGAATATTTTGAATATTCACTATATGTTTCGAGCTGGCAGGAACTTTTCTTTGTCTCTCAGAAATGATGGTGTTCTGCTGCATAGACAAATCTTTGTAGACCATTTTTTTCCAAAGATGCTTTTCTATATCGGATCAATATAACCAAACTTACTGGGTCCAGAGTGATCTTTTTTCATGCTGTTCATCTGTCCACATTTCAAATGAACTAGGTTCCATCTCTAACAGAATCAAATTTCCAACAGTAGATCTCTTTCTAAGTCACAAGTATGAAATGGATGAAATGGAGGTATTACTGTAATTTCAGCATGAGCAGGTGGCATCACACAGATAACTTTGGCCCATCCAAAAAAGTTCATTGGGAATGGTCCTGATCAGCACTTGGATAGGTTACTATTAGGAAATCTCAAGATTTGGAACAATTTGGGGAGCTGAAAAAAATCCCCTTCCATATTTCTGCCTGTCAGCCATTCAAGGTAGACCTGACTAGGAAACCAAAATATTGCAAGATACTGCTCTTTTTGTTACAGGATTATATGAACCAAATCTTGCAATGCGCCTCCCTCCCTTCGTCTCATTCATGTCTCAAGGAGAGCTGTATCTGAGACACTTTCTCAAATTTCAGTTCTGAGCTAGACCCAGAATTTTTTTTTTTAATCTGAGATCATCTTCCTCCTCTTCCTGAAATTTATTCTCACAACCCATTACACTGCCAAGAAATTATACATCTTTATTCATGAAATCAGCAGAAGTCAGGTTTTTACTTTTAATATTTACATCAAACTTATTCAATCGATTGAAAAACTTCACACGTTTTGAAATTAAAAGAAAATGCTTGTTGGTCAGAACTCTGAAAAGTGGGTGCAGTTTTAGCACTTTGCGAGTGAGATGTCAACTAACTTTTCACAAGGAATATTTGGAAGAGGTCTTGTGTTTTTGTTCATTTATATGAATGTTAGTTGAGGTGAAAAGCAGCAGATGGAGGGTGGGAAGGAGTGAGGCGTTAGTTCATTTATGTATTCCAGATAATGCTTATCTGCTGTTGTAGATTCATGATTGCCTAGCTGTGGGCAGAGATATCTACAGGGTATGGTTAAAAAAAGTCAGGAGGAGTGCCATGAGATTGTGATCAAACTTCTGCCCATGTGTTATATGTGATGCACACGTGCACACACACACACACGAGAAATTTCACTTGCATCTTTTCGACTTTCTGAGTTGAATGAGCAGATCAAGAACCTTTCAACTCTGATGTTATATATTGCAACTTCCTCTTTTCTGTAGAGCTGATCGTTTCAGGGTTTGATGTGGAACTTATGGTGGAGAAAGAGCCTAAATTAACAGAGCCAGCCCCTTCTGTGGAGAGCAGTTTTTCCACAGACCAGGTGAAGGTGTGGTTTCGTGGTTCCCCATGTGTGCAGGTGGGGCTTCGCTTGCTGGCGTGGACCGGTTCTTGGCAGACCATGGACCAATGCCAGTCCATGGACTGGGGGTTGGGAATGTCTGGTCTAAGAGAAAAGGCTTCCTAAACTCTATTCTGCTTATGCCTTTGTGAGATGCTGCCTTCATGTCAGCAGAACCGACAATAAGGTTGGAAATCTGCATTTCAGCGAACTGTTGAAAAAAAAAATGATTTGAAAAAAGCCCCAGGTCTACTTTTTTTTAAAAATGGCATTGAAATGGCTTCTTCCTGTCGTGCCTAGAGAGGGAGCTCTCACCTCACAATCAGGAGGTGCGAGTTCGATCCTAGGTAGAGGCTGATATTTCTCTCTCTGGGCACACTGAGAAAATATATCTGCTGAAAAAAAATTCCACATTGGCGACAGGAAGGGCATCCGGCCAGTAAACACTCAGTTCCATTCAGTTGCCTAGAGTCCACCCCACAAGGGATTGTGGGGTCTTTAAAAGAGGATTATTGAAATGGCTTCCTCTGGAGTTAAGTCGAAGAGTTTTTTTCCTCCCTCTTTCCTGCAGGTTAGGCCAAAGACTCTGATCCCAGACAGCCTCCCAATTTCTCCATGCAGAGATCAACCTTCCAAGCAACCTCCGACGTTTCAGAAGGCAACAGTGGTCAGCATCAAGAACCCAACTCCTGCCCTCCCCACTGCCAATAATACTGTTAGCCATGTACAGACGTCCAGCAACCAATCACAAAGTGTCACAGAGACGGCAGCCATCTCCTCATCCCTGAATAGTGCTGGGGTAGCATATGCCATTATCTCAACATCTCCCAATAATGCAATGCCCATCAACACCAGCGCTGCTGTCTCGGTGGTTAATGACAGCATTAAAGTGCAACCACTTCTCATCAGTGCTGACAGCAAGGTAGGTTTCATTAGGGAACTGCAGACATTACAAGTGTCTAAAGTTAAGACAATATCAGGATGGCAGATCTGAGTCTCTCAGTATAGTAACTGGCCTGATGAATAAAGTGAGAATCTTGTTTGCCTCAGTAAATGGGATTCATAATCAAATCTTATCACTTGACCTCATTTGTCAGTCATGAAGGGATTTGTTCATATATCCCAGAACTGGGCGATATAAGAGGGTAAGGGTTAGCTGGCTAGCAAGCTAAGCAAGAGAGCTTTTGCAGAATTGGCATATTCATTATTGGCTTTCAGGTGTATTCAAAAAGGGCTGAGTGTCCAGAAACATCTTTTCATTGCAAACCAATTAAGTGACCATAATGGTAATCAGATCAAGATACTATCAAAGCAAAATTGGCCCTTAAAATTAACAGGAAACAGATGCGAACAACAGAGCTGATGTAACTGTTAAGAATCCAGGGAGAATGCCCAGAGCTTTATTTTCAATGGAGAATGTGATTCCCAACAGAAGAGATATTTCCATTTTATCCAGGGCTCCTTGGGTGGTCTTTTAGATGGAATGCAGGCCTTTTCTCAATTTCTTTTGTAGTTTACTCTCATCTAGCCCTTTATTGATTCTTGACAGGTGCTAAAGAATATAAGATTATGTATTCTAGATTATAGATTAAACGATTATCTGCAGATTGATGACCTACTATTGCATCAATCTAAATGTTCTTTCAACAACTTTATATAGGTTAAGGATACAGACTGTTCAGGCCAGGAGATGTGGTGGTGTAATTTTGACCCCTTTTTTGCTGTTGGATAGTAGTGATGATTGTTTAAGACTTGAAGATGTGTAAGGCAGCCATTTTACCCCTTCACCATTCCTGAACCCCCCTCACAAGGTTGTTGTTGTAGGGAAAATAGAAAGATGTGTTGGATATGTTTGCCTACATAGATGAAATTGTCAGCTCAACTCAAAGGATACTTTTATAGGATGCTGACCTGACATTCAGATCTTATTACAACTTATTAATTTTTACATGTTTTATTTGCAGAGCAGGCATCAGCTCAAAGGCTTTGCAGTTTCCCTACCCAGAATTCTGGCTAAGGAATTCTGTGAGTTGAAGGTGTCACATCTGGAAAGTGTCAACATTGGCAAATACTTCCTTTCCTTTAGCTATACACATGTTTATTTTCACGTCTTATTTTCACCTGTCTCTTGATTTTCAGGTCATCATCATTCAACCTAAAGTTCAAACTCAGACAGAAAATAAAGTGGAGATAAAAAAACCTGCTGAAGAGTCAACTCAGGGACCTGCTACCAAAAAGAAAAAAGATGAAAATCCTGAGGTAAAAAGACCAGTTTATTATCTTGAAAAACATAATACATGCCTATTGTGTACTATTATTATTTCTTCTTCTTCTTCTTCTTCTTCTTCTTCTTCTTCTTCTTCTTCTTCTTCTTCTTCTTCTTCTTCTTCTTCTTCCTCCTCCTCCTCCTCCTCCTCCTCCTCCTCCTCCTCCTCCTCCTCGAAGGAAGGCCTCTTCCACATGTTTCTAACCAATACAGTCCTGAGATATATATTTTTTGTCAGTTGGGTCCGTAATACTCGCTGATGTCATTGATCCATCTTGTTTTAGGTCTCTTTTGTGGACACTTTTGATCAAGTGGGATTCATTCTATGACTGCCTTAGTCTACCTGCCATTAATTCTTTTTGCTGTGTGTCCAGCCCATTTCCATTTCAATTATTTTATTCTCACATAAAGACTTTAAAATAATCAAAATATAAAATAGATCAAAGATTGAAATAGATGCATCAGATAGTTTTGTTTTGTTTACAACTTCTGTTAGTGACAGCTTCCTGAAGAATATAACCACAAAATATAACTGAGACAAATGTAACGTGCCTCTTGTTGGGCATTACTTTTTTTTAATGTTCTGCACTATTTTCCCCACCATTTTTTTATCTTCTGAGAAGAACTCTTCTCTTTTCAACCTTCATCCAGTTTACGTTGTGCCTGTACTATGCTAGTCTCTTAATGAAATAATGAGGGTGTCAATTTACTCTTGCTTCTCCAAAGTCCAATAAATAATTGTGCCAGGAAGAATTCATCAGGAAGCATTCACACCATAACAAGTTAAATAGGCCAATATCCGCTTGCTTCAGCTCTACACAGAATGGTTATTGTGAAAATGTGGTGCTGTGATAAATAACACAGCTCCTTTCCCATTCTTCAAGGAGAATCTGTTGAAAATTGATGTTCGCTTGTATTCTGCACAAAGTTGAAATGGGTAATATAAAGGGAGGTTGTCTTAAGAATTAAACTTGTATATAAACTACTTTTCTCACATCTGCTAGAATAATTTTGATCAGAGGTCTGGGAATAACAGAACTTAATTTTGAATAAATGGTCTTTTTATTCCATGTGTAAAGCTATTGTTTACATTACTAATATAGCTGAGTGGAACTTATATTTGGTTTTAAAATTAGACTACAGCATGCTGGGTTGAGATACAAAGGTGATTTTGCAAGTTGGTCTACAGAGCTGCATTTAAATAGAGCATTATCTAAAATTCATCCAACTGATAGCCACCATTGTTCATTAATTTACTTTCAAAGGCTACACATTTGCCAAGTGCCTCAAGACAAAATTCCTAGAGTGACAATATTTGACAGCTAATCTTAAAATCATACCCATAGTTCTTAGAAATTTTCATTTTTGGATAAAGATGGTTACACGTGAATTATAAAATGTTACTAATTCTAAAAATTCTAAAAAAGTATAGGAAATACCACAAATTACCCCCCTTTTCCATCATTACTATTGGATGGGATGGGATGGAATTAGGAATAGGAATAGAATACTTTATTCGGTCCAGGGTGATTTGACACACAAGGAATTTGTCTCTGGTGCAAAAGCTCTCAGTGTATATGCAAAGCAACAGAATAATCATAAACATAATGATGATAGGAGTGGGTAGTAAAGAAGATGTGAAGGATAATAATATTATTATGGCTATACAACATGGGAAAATATACACAGATATAAGACAGTACTGTGAGCATTAGATGGTTCAGCAGCTTAATGGCATGAGGAAAAAACTGTCACTGTGCCTAGTTGTTTTGGCATGCAATGCCCTATAGCAGCATCCTGAGGGGAGGAGTTGAAACAGTTTATGTCCAGGATGTGAGGGATGTGTAGATATTTTCTTAACCTTCTTTCTGACCCGCGCAATATACAGCTCTCCTGTGGAAGGCAGGATGTTTGCCATTGATATAGTGCAATGCCATATTGGCAGCAGCATCTGCCAGTCTATTTACTTGGTACACAAACTGCTAGGGGTCTAATAGCAGATCATGATAATTTTCTGGTGGGCCAGCGCTATCCTTCTGACAGTTTTTAAAACTATAGGTGTCAGAGCAACTGGTTTGTAGTCATTCAGCTCCTTGATGGAGGGTTTCTCAGGAACCAGGATGATAGTAGAGAATTTGGAGCAAGAAGTGAACATAATAGATCTCTAGTGATTTATTCAAACTGTGCGTGAAGTTGGGGACCAGTTATTCAGCACAGTTCCAGTTCAACAGGAAGGAGTTACTCTGTCTGGGCTTGGTGTTTCTATGATCTTTTGTCTATGAAAAAATAGACCTCATACATCAGAGGTGGACCCAAAGAGTTGGAGATAGGTGTAGGAGATTTGGCTACTGTTGATCCATCTGAGGTGAGGAAGATAGTCATGGATGACAGTGATCACCTCTCAAACCTGCAATAGAACATATTCAGGTCATCTGCCAGTTGCCAGTTCTCTTCAGTAAAGGAGGGAGGTCTGTTGCAGCCAATGATATTATTCAGGCTTCTCCACACATTTGCTAGTTCATTAGCTGAGAACTTGATTTTTCAGCTTTTCGAAGTAGCTTCTCTATGCTATCCTGATCTCCCTTATTAATACATCTCTGCCCCTGATTGCATAAAATCCTATATTCTTTCCTGTCAGCCTCCCCTTTGGCACAACATAACTGCTTGAGCTTAATCGCTGCTTTTGAAAAAATATTTGGCTTAGGCATTTCTTTTTCACTCTAAGACTTTCCACATAGAATATTTTTAGCGTTGCTTCTGTTGTATGAAATCTGTTCTATTTCCTGTGACCAAGTTCAAACCCATTTTTTAAGAATGATCCTGGGAGCCGACAAGGACATGCCAGTCCCATGATCAGAGTAAAAACAGGCATCCACTCCATACCCAGCCATTTCTAGGCAAAGGAGATGTTTAAACAGAAAGTCCTAGATACCAATGTTCAAATAGATGTGAAGTTATTGGCAAAATAGATGTTTAAACTGGTTGTCTAAGAATCACTTTCCAAATGGAGAAATACCTTGGTGAGCTTGATACAATTCTTAAGAAAGGCCTATTTTGGAATAAGATTTGAGTTATTGGATTTCATAGCCAAATATGGCCCCTTTTGTTAAAATATCATGACTGGTTGATTAGATATCTAAACTCTCTACTTGAAAGAACCGCCCACTGAAAAACTGAACTGCAACTGTCCTGTTTTAAACAGGACTTTTAACGTATACAAACTTAGCAGAAATGCTAAGTTTAGAAACAAGGTAGTTTGGCTAAGAATCCATTCTATTGAATGGACTATCATATAAAGGTGATATACTTATCTGAATATTGACTGTTTGTGTTAAGCAAATGTGTATTTTGTTATTGCATTTTCCTTTACCTATTTTATCTTAGAAACAGACCTTGCATTTAAACTTTATTTTTAATTTTTGATATGATCGTAAGACTAATCAATCAATAATCCATATCTGTCTGTCTATTCATTTATCCATCTATCAAATCATCAGTTTCACTTTATTTCCTATTTGAAAATGAAAAAGATGAGCAGCGCATGAAGCATTGTACTGTTTTTAACTTGTAAATGGCATTATTTTATTAATAATACCACTTAACATTCACACTGAACTTTGTGGCAATTCATGCATTTTTACCCAGGATTTCTTAGCGTGGTATTAAGAGAAAAGTTAGTGTTATCTGTGCATTACAGAAGGGAAGATTCAGAAACTGTAATTTATCAGGTTCCCTGCTAGGAAGTATAGCAGAAGTCAGATTTTAATGAAGAATCTCCTCTCTAACAAATTACACTCTTTGAGCCAACACACTAATACTAACCAATTACTATCACTAACCTATGCACCCATTGCTATTATTGTTATTAATTATTTTGTTATTGGGGTCACTTCAAATGCATAATTTGAAACAATATAATATCTGTAATCTGTATGCTGTGCCATAAATACAACATGTATACAATATTGTGGAAATAGTCAGAAATTGAAATTATTTCTATTGTGGTACCTAAACTGATTTTCAATACTTTGCATGCCTTTATTATATTATGAGTTTGCTGATTTTGCAATTTTAATAATTTTCCAGATTTTTCATAGCCATAAGAACAAATCCCTGGAAGGTATAAGGAATTCTGCCAATTGTTCAAGGAGTCTGCCCTAGCTAAATCAAGTTTCCACAATTAATTTTGATATCTTCTGCTCCTGCTTTTTTTTTAATATCACAGTGAACCCCAGGAAAATTACTCCATCACAAAACTGGGCCAGTACAAGCCTCAAAAGATTCACAGAGAAAAGCCATGTTTTCATAATTGCTATGGGTAACAGGGAGAGATGGGGGCGGGGCAGAGAGGGGGAGAGAGAGAGAGATGAAGAAAGAGAAAGAAAGAAAAAATGGAAAGAAAGAAAGAATCTAAGCAAGTGTACTATCTCAAAGTGTTGCTAGGCCAACCGGCTAGAAACACTGACTTGGGAAGAGTTTATTTACAACAGACAGGAAAATCCTATCCCGTGGCCAAGAGCCATGTTAATTAACTTCATTTAATACCCTCCTGGAGCTACCAAGGTCTTCTGCCTGTATTCTGTTCACATCCACGTACAGATGGTCCTTAATTTACAAATATAAGTGAACCCAGAAATGGTCGCAAATTGTGCCATTCGTTATGTGGATCGTTGTGATTGTGCCTGATTTTATGACATTTTTTTGCAGTGGTTGTTAAGTGAATGCCATGGTCGTTAAACAAATGTGTTGCCCGCAATAGGCATTTTTGGTGGAAACTGGAAGTAAGCCCTGGTTTCTAGTACCAAATTGTGAATACGGAATGCTGCAAACAGTTATAAATGCAGTAAATACTGGAAATTGGCAAAAAAGTCATAAATCATGCTGACATGACAGTGGGATACTGCAAATGACCATAAAGGTGAGCCAGTTGCTAAGTGCCCAAAATAGGACCATGTGACTGCAGGGGATGTGGGTGTCATAATTTCAAAAATGGGCCATAAGTAGTTTTTGTGTGGTCCCGTTGTAACTTTGTTCGTAACCAGCCATAAGTTGCGGATTTTCTGTATTGATTGCCCAGTATTGAGTCATACTATATAAGACTTTAAACAAATGTAGTCAGGCTAAATTAATGTCACAAGGCTCAGGGTAAATCATTGTCTGGATTTGTAGCATAACTAAGCACTTTTCCTTATATCACTCTTTCTTCCATTTCTTCCCTCGCATGCAATTATCTGACCTCCAACATCGTATTCTTCATTATGTTTCATCACACTGTGCTTATCTGAAATGTAAGGAGACCTCACACTAATGTGGGGTGCTGTAGCCTAATCCTAATGTTAAAAAACAGGACTCCAAAGCTTAGTTTTACCTGCCTTCTGTTTATGGATATGTTGATTTAGCAGGAGCCTTCGTTTTTATTATCACCTGGGATATAAAGTTGAGGTCTGCTTCTTGCTTCTCAATTTTTATGGGTGTACTAAAGAAGCAAATATATATTATTGTCTTGGCATTGATAAATAAGCTTTGGGTTAATTTATTTTGTTCCTTGAATAAGCTTTAGTTGATTAACATGCATTTATGCAATTAGTGTAATTAGACCTAACTGTATAATTAGTATAAACACATGTTAACGACAACTAGAACATATAATTACAACATGATTATATATATGTAGATAGATAGATTTTGCCGAAACGTCGCTACAACTTTAAAAGCACAACTATAATGACGTGGGAAAATACCCGAACAAAGCTGAATACCATATATATGTATGTATATGTGGAGATATATATATATATATATATATATATATGGAGATATATATATATTACCAAATTATTCAAAGAGAGATATGCTGCTGATTTCTTAAGGCATTTATTTATATTTTTTATCACATCATGAAACAAAAAAGCCTTCCATATCTATGCTAGTCTTTTAAAAGAAAAGTTAAAAAGTAGATAAAATACTTGTAGGTTCTGCATAACTCCAACTGGATAACAGAAGACCAAATAATCCACCATACTTTACAACATGATATAATGGTTGAAAAAAAGAAATGAATAATAGTTTACTTATTTAATTTGCATTGTCCCTTAGAGCTAAATTTGACATGTACATTGGAGTACATTGGATATTTCTGAATCCTATTTTTGTCTCAGTAACATGGATGTCATGGAGTTTTAATCTTTTCAACCTTTGTTTTTCCTCACTGATTGCCAATTCGAGGGAATTAGAACAATTCTAAAAGTAGTCACAGGACCCTAGAGTTGGAAAGGACATTTTGGACCATAGATTGCAACTCTGCTCTGTGTGTGAACGAAAACTAAAGTTTCCCAGACCTTGGGTGAAACCACCTCCATTTAATGAGTTCTGTTAGTGAAAGGCATTGATCATTAGGAATGTCTTCTTAACATTCCACTGGATTTTACTTTTTTAGCATTAAACTCTCTGGGGCAATAGAAAACCTCAGTGTGATATATCTCTTTAGCTATTTCCCCGTTAGGAATAAAGATTTCTAATTCCTTCTTTGCAATACTTGTTGCTCTTTGAGAGCGATACTTAGAACTAGAGAGAGTTCAAGGTTTGCACCTGACTAATGTAGAATATAGTGATCGGGAACTACGACAACTTCCTAAATAATGCTGATGACAATTTTCCAAGTGCTGATGGCTTTCCATTGTGTCTGATTGGAGCGTTGCCCTTCTTAACCAAGTTCGAGCAGCTCAAGGGGACATACAAGGAATTGAACACATTAGAGTTGCTGGAAAGGTGCCAAACAATATGGACAGTGAGAGAAGAATATCTGAAACCTGCAGTGTCTGTGCAAAGTATTTTTTCCTGCCCGAAGAAGAACCAAACTACACCTGCTGCAAGTACAAGCTTGGTTTCTACTGAAAGGGAAATCGAAAAGGTCTGGGAAACAAGACTCTACCCTGAGGCACCATGGAAGAAGAGAGCTTCCTGCGGCTGAAGCTTGCCATGAAGCACTAGGGAAGTCACTTGCGTTTCCATGACTCAAAGATCTCTGGTCGATCTTTGCTGTTGGATAATTAATCCATGCTAAAGAAATGAAGATCCAATGGCTTGAAAACCTGGAGGAGAAAGGTATCTGTGAAGGATGAGAAATCTTACCAAATGAGGATACTCTTGGAATTCCTTTCTTGGAATTCCTTTCTAGACCAAAGCCTTCGGGACATCTAGTTGCTTACAATGTTCTACAGTCTACAAAGGCACAATTACAATTAAAGTAGCAATGTGAAGCGTAGTTCTATGAGAGAAGAATAGCCTCTCCTTGGATGCTCCCTGACTGTTTTTCCAAGACTGTGCGTGCTCCTTCATTGAGGGTACGGTGGCCTAGTCGTGGAGCTTTTGCCTCAGAATCAGGAGGCTGTGAGTTCGATCCTCGATAGAGGCAGATATTTCTTTCTCTGGGCACAATGAGAATAAATCTGCTGAACAAAGCTTGGCATTGGTGACAGGAAGGGCATCCAGCCAGTAAACACTCAACTCCATTCAGTTTCCCAGACTCCACCCCGCAAGGGATTATGGGGTCGTTAAAAGGAGATGTTGATGATGATGCATACTCATTGAAGGCTTTTTCCTCTGGCCTGACTTTATGCACTATTCATCAGGGTCACAACAGGGGAAGATATTATAATATTTCAATTACTTCTGAAAATTATATATGCTCAGGCAAAGAAATTGAATCTGTAGCTCATGTTCCATTAGTGTTCACTTTATATGCAATGAGAATTTCAACTCTTAATTTCAGTTATTAGAAATTTTAATCTCCCTCATTATGTGGAGATCACTGTTTCGCTTTTAAGCAACTAATTTCTAGATGCATAAAAAGGCAGTGGTGAAATTTGTATATATAGCTTTCCTTCTTCACAGTTTTGATTTTCTTAATTTTATGTTATTTTTATGCATATACAGTATTTTAATGGTGTATATATTTTACAGTAATTGGTTTGATCTTGGACCAAATCATAGTTGTAATTATCACCACCATCATCATTATCATCTAGTTACAGTAAATTGAAGATTGAACAAAATACCCAAAATAATAACACTTCTTTGGGTAAATTAGAAATAAACAGTCAAAGATATGGCTTGTTGTAAGGATAAATTGTCAATGTGAGAAGGCAGAGCTTCATATGTCAGAAGGGAAATGGGGCACTGGCTGGTGATCCTTTTACTGCTGATAGGAGGAGGAAATTAAAGCTTAGAATATATACAAGGAGGAACTAAGAGATAATCTGGCTAATTTAAATGAATTCAAGTCCCCAGGATCAACTGGTTGATCTCTCTGAGTCCTAAAGGACTATTAGAGATGACTCAAGAACCACTCTTAGAAATCCTGGAAAAATCCTGAAGGACCAGTGAGGTCCCAGAAGATTGGAGGAGAGATTGTGTCTTCTTAATTTTCAAAAGATGAAAGGAGGAGGATCTGGGAATCCATGTTGGTAGAGGGTTAGGGACTCTCACAAGCTTTATACCCTTCTAACTTTATTCTCTTCTTTGATAGTCACTAGCCATAGTATACCTGAAACAAGTGATCTTTAATTTACTTTCCATATACTCTATGATTCCACCCATGCAGCCTAAAATTGCTGATATATTTCCTTTTTTCCTCCCATCACTCCATTAGTCTGTTTTTGAAGAACGATTGTGGGGCCCAGATATACTTTTGAGAATAAATTGGTGCATTTGCCATATTTTTTTAATATTTATTTTTTATAATATGAAAAACAAAAACAAAATAAAGATTGTGTGCATTAATAGCAGGAATTGGAACTCACAACCCAGTACCAGCAGACCAGAGAGGCATATAAAATACTGTATCAAACCATTGTCAAATAATTTTTAAAAAACCCAAACATCTACATTTAACTGAATAATTTTATTTTGTTTCATATAAACTCCAAAAGGATGCATATGATATAGAATATATAAATTTGTGGTAACTCTTTGGTGGACTAAAATAAACCATCAATTACTGATATGTAATAATTATAGATTATGTTCTTTATGGGAATAATCATAAATAACGTTTATTCACTTTATTTCTTCTCTAGAAAATTGCCTTTATGGTAGCATTAGGCCTGGTTACGACTGAATACTTGGAAGGTAAGAAGGCTTATCTTACTAGAAAAAATTCTTCTGTTTTTCAAAGCAATGTATTTCAATATAATAAAAAGATTATTTTATAAAAGAAGATTGGAAACCTTAATCTAAAGTGTTTTATTGTATTATTGGAGTGAGATCTCAAGGGAAAGAACTTGAAAAATGCAGCACAGCTCCTGTTTGCAGATCTTAAACATGAATCCTATTGAGTCATTATAAGATGAGTAAACTGATTATGCAAGTCATTACCACAAATAACCAACATTTTATAATGAAATCAGATTTCCTTTTGCATCCTTAGAAGTAGGCTATGCAAACATGTTAAAGGTAACAGCTCTGCTATGCATAATTAAAAAGCTTATTAGGATTAAAAATTCAAGATTGCTATCTGGATTTTCCCTCTTTTTCTAAATAAGGTTAGAAATGAACTAAATGAGTTTTAGTTTTTCTATTCATGGCCTTTGGCTTGAAATGAACAGCTCCCTTGAAATAAATCAGAATTACAATCAAGTCTTACCATTGGAGAAATTGGCCCTAGGTTGTGAGCAAAATACATTGCATGGTTTGCAATATCAAATTAGCATGAAGCCCCAAATATCGTGGGCTTCGAAGCTTTTGTGTTGCTAGGAAAATCAATTTCACATTGCTGGATCAGTCTGAAGAACTTCAGAAACCCAAAGGCCAAGAAGATAATCAGACTGGTCCAGTCAATCAGATGTGAGTAATAGAAGATAAGGTCTAATCAGAAGGTTTGCCTAAGTAACAAAAATCATTTGATCAAATAAGTTTCATCTAAATATTTTATGTACAGAAAAATAACCCTTTTGAAATTGATTATAGAAATCCAGAGCAAACGTCAGGAAAGAAAAAGAAGAAGTACCGCCAATCCAGCTTACAGTGGACTCTTGGAAACTGAGGTAGCCCAATATTTAAACATTTGCACTTTTGGTTTTATTTCTGGCCTATGCAAATTTAAAGAGATTATAAGTCACAGGAAGGTGAGAAAGTCAGGATTGTACCTGGAACCACATGAGTATTATTTTTTAGATATCCTTGACTTATGACCACAGTTGGGAGAAGAATATCAATTGCTAAGCAAGGCAGTTGTTAAATAAGTTGCACCCAATATTATGATTTTTACAAAATATAAAATTACACAATCTTTTTAAAAAGGATAAAGAATACATTATTCTTTCAAGAATGGGAATAAATGCAAAGAAAATCATGTATCGGGTAATCCTTCAAGACCTAATACATCAGTTGAGAAAATGACAAAAAGATGATAAATATTATTAATGAAATCAATAAGAATGTAGTAAGATTTTTTTTAAAAAAATACTAACTAATCTGAAGCAGTAGTATTATGGGCAATCAGACATAAGGTTTACTGCTACAATAAAAAAAGATAATAGAAACAAAAAAAATTAAAAAGAAAATATAGAAGGCATAGAAAAGAAAAAGGGAAAAGGATATATTAAAGAATATATGTGATTAATTCTATAGCATACATATAATGAACTTGTCTGCATGTTTGTATGTGTGTGTGTATGTGTATTTCTGATTTCATCACAGCAAGTATAAACAATTTTAGTAGCATCACCTCATATTTATAAAATCTTAAGAACCTTGTCTTTTCAATCCTTATTAGCAAAAGTCTGTTAAGAGTTACTAGAGATAACAACATTATTTATTTTAGACCTGTTCAAATAAACCAGCTTTAACCCTAACCCATTTACTTTTAACAATATTGATATTTAGTCCCTTAAAATAATATTTTAAACTTGATTTTTCTTTTTGTTTTGTTTTTCCTACTGACAAAATTCTTCTAAGCTTTTTTTTTTAAACCCTCTTTTGTAAATCTAACATAGGAAGATTATTCAGTTCACTCTCTTGGTTTGATATAAATATATCCCTTTTAATTATTAAAATATTAGCTGGTTTTTTTTATAAGTCGAGCCTAGCATCTTTTTCTATATCATTCATGTAGCTTGTCATTTTTAAATCCACTTTCAGATCAGTCTCAATTTAGTCCTGTAAAACCTGTTCTTCTTCCACAACTTTTAAACACAGTCTATCTATAGAGGCAGACACTCTTAAAATTAATTTCAGGGTGTATTGTTTAAAATAATTTTCAGTTTGTTGAATGTTAACATATTTTTCTTCCATTCTATGTTAGTAAGTCCTATGTATATGTTCTTCTCCTATAATCTTTAGTTTCTTCCATTTCCCTCTAGCGTCCAACCTTCAAAGTTCCTTCCTGTCATTATTTTTAAAAAATCAAATAATTTTATAAACATGAAGTTTTAATCATCCTTTTGATGTTTATTCCACAAGACAAAGTCTTTAAAACTGTATTTAAAAGCTTCTTTCATAAAGGATTGAAGGAAACTCACCTTGTGTTTTCACACTTGTCAATCCAAAGATTCCTAATAGCTAAAAAGCAGTTAATAAGCAATTTCCGAAAGTAATTAGTAAAAGAATTATGTGAGCTTAGTCTCCTTTCAAAGGTGCCAACCAGAGTTTGAGCGAGATGACTATTCTCGCATCTCACAGAGCTCTAATCCCATTGGAGACTGCTGAACATGCTGAAGAAGGTTTATTTTCCCTGGTAATTCCTGACTCAAAATGTTGACTCTAGTCAGGATTGTAACTTCAAATGAACTCTTTTCTCCCCTGGTCCAGCTCCCTAAAAGACCGGGGATTTTCCAGATCAACAAGAATTTAAATCTCGTTTATGGGGTGTACCAAAATACTTCTGACTGATGGTCCTAATTTGAACCTTTTTTGAACCAAAAGCATGGCAAGCATCACCAAGTTTATGTTTTGTTTATACTGCTGATTGAGATCTGAGTTGAACACCAGCTGGTCTTCATGAGTGTTGAAGATATCACCTTTATGGTAGGTGATACCTACCTGCGAAACAGGGATGGTTTTGTTTTTCGAAAAAAGTAGAGATTTTGAAATGCATGATTTACATATTCTCTGCTCACAGTTCTGGTACAAGGTTGGAGAAAGAATTGATGATATTTAAATGTGGAAACAATCTTATTTGCTTATTCCATTCTTTAACTTAAAAATACCTCCAGTTCAGGAAACTTATCTCAGTACAGTAGTAACAAATTTGACACAAAGGAAAAATGATAAGAAGTGGGGAGAAAATTGTTTTGAATTGTTCTTTTTCTCTGAATGTATTTCTGTCTAAAGTTGCAGATGATTTTCAGGGTTAGATTTATTTATTAAACTTTCTTGGCTAAGCAGCTTTGCTTTGTGTATCATTCTATCATTGGCTTCTAAATCATATCATTAGTTTCTAAATCAGGGATTATAAACTCACATCGTCATGGCGATGTCATCATCACACGACATATCGGGACTTTTTACCTCTTCGCTAAACTGGATGTGGGCGTGGTCAGCATGTGGGCTGGGAGTTTGACAGCCCTATTCTAAATTAAGGATAATCTGGTATCTGAGAAATTTTTTTAGGTTGCAACTATTTTATGGATGTTTAATAAACAGAAGAATAAAGCTGACCCTACCTGTTGCTTTATTTTTTTGGCTAATTTAAGGCAAAGCAGGAAAGAAGTGGGAATGTCCCCTTACTAATCCCCAAGAGAGAGAGATCTACAAAACTCCTCATGAGGAAATGCTGTTGGCTACCAGAAGTGGCTTTAAATAAATTAGAGTCAGCTGTTTAGCACTTACTCAGTTAGTATCTTTGATTTATTTCTTTTTAGCAATACTGATAAAGTTATAGTGACATTCCAGGCATTTTGTGGCTATTTAACTTACAATTTGATCTCGTGGGCAATTCTTAATAGCTAATTGCTTAATCTGAAATTGGTTTTTTTCCTGTTCTTGCTCTATAATTAGAAAAAGTTACTGGACCAGGCTGTTAATATCAGTGATCCAACACCCATTGCGCAAAATGGCAAATTATTTCAACTGAACATAAAGCATTAATTAATTACTCACTTAAGGAAATGAAAGAAGTAAAAATGTCACTACTTCTTCAGTTCCTATATCTCTTCCAAACAAACACTGAGTAAATACATCTGAAAAATAATGTCAAGAAGTAATTAGTAAGAGTCCCCGAACCAAAGGATGGGTGTCAAAAATTTGAAAAATAAATAAATGATAAATAATAGAAAAAAGCAAGTCTAAATTCAAAGATCATCTACAAAAACACTATTGAAAGAGACCTTGAAATTCAAAATATTAACTCTTGCTATGATTAACAATATTTTGGCTTGATAAAGTCACAAGAATTAACACTTAGGTTAAGCAAAGAATCTAGAAGTATGCCAGTAGCAAAAATTAGGGCACTTCATTTTTACAAAAACATACATAAAGTTCTGTAACATATTCAAAGTCTGTTTCTTCAAAAAAAATTAACATTTAGAAAAGACTGGCTTATCAACTCCACCCCCATTATCCTTTAGCCCTTTTATTTCATCATCCCTTTTATGATGAAGATAAAATTAGACAGCACCCACTATTAGGAAATGAGAGGTTTACATTATTTAAAAGATTTATACAATGGGGTCATTCCTAGAACAGGAAACTAAGTAAATTTATGGTTTTAGATTCATTAGATTTCATTTCAGTTCCTGCAATTAGCACATGAGCAATTAGGCCATGAATAAATTTAAAGTCAGGCTAAATTTGTCAACTAATAGAACAAAAAAGATATATATTTAAAATGTACAACATTTTATAGAAAGGGAAGCAATGTTTTTGATTAGGAAAAAAACAATACAGGAATCTATATACTACTAAAACTCTCATTGTCATGATCTTTAACTGGGCAATATGATCCACTATAGGGCAACAGTTTTTGAACCAAGGTGCCTCCAACAGGCTAACTTAAAGAATGTGTCCAAAATCTGGGACCCTGACTCTTGAGGGAATGAAATTTGGAGATGTTTTCTGTCAAAGTATCTCTGGGGAAGTGCCAGAATGGGCAAGACGGCAAACATGTTATCATGATACCAGTCCCACTCCTTTTGTGTATAGACCATCTTGTCTCTTCACCAACTTCCATCCTGTGGATATTGATATTCTCAACTGAACTAAAGGTCCTACAGTGTCTCCTTATCTCAAGGAGAAGAAAGCCCCTGAGGGCCCATGAGTCATTCCCAAAAGAAATTTGACCCAGTTACTGCACAACCACAATATTGCTCACACGTTGATTCAAACTAATCGACTAAACTTTTTTAAAAAATACAATACATCACAAATATTCATTCTTTTTCACAAACATATATATGTTAATGATGCTATATGTTTAAGTTTTGGGTTAAATTCTTTAGAAGAAAACTACTTCGATTTTTCAGAAATCGATGCAAGAACTGCCATTCATATAAATATGGACTTTTTCTTCTTTTTCAGCGGAAACGCCTTGCATCAAATTATTTGAACAACCCTTTTTTCCTCTCCACAAGAGGTAAGCTCTTCAAGTTATTGAATGGAAGATCAGCACGCCAAACACATGAATAAAATAGTTCTTGTAAATTCTAGTGTCTCCTGCTTGTAACCCATGTGCTGTTAGATTTCAGAAAGATCGAAATCTAGCAGAAACCACAAACTTGGGACAAGAGAAAGTAGATTTGAAGGGCTTGTTATGAAATTTTACTTGGGAATATAGCTGCGTTGCTGTATATCTGACACTTGACCCCTAAATGTGAAAATTTATATTATAGCAAAAGTTAGTAATCTTAAAAATGTTTTTTTAAAAAAACTGGTAGTTCTTGTTTTATTCTAATAACATTGTTTGAATAAGTTTTGCAATTTCTTGTTAGGAAGTATGTGTTGTAGATATCATACCATTAGTAATACCTAGCTGTATTGCAATTGTACTATAAACTATAACTTTGGCTTCTAGTAGAAAGTTATGAAGTTATTTAGCAAGAGCAAAAAAGACAAACCCACAAATTTAGAAAGAAAACAGAACCCTAGCTCAGGTAATCCTTGCTTGGTGACCACAATTGTGATGCTCAACTTGGTTATTAAGCGAAATGGACGCTAAATGAACCCACAACTCTGCTTACAGTCCCTTCAATTTTGCTTACCTATGAAGATTTGCTTAAATGTGAGGATTGGTCACCAAGTTTATTTTTTCATCACTATCCTAACTTTGAACTGTTGCTAAATGAGGCAGTTGCTAAAGTCTGTATTAAAGACTGTATCACAAAGACACAGTTGTTAGTTTTTTTATTACCATCAAATCTTCAATTCTTTGTTGTTACCTTCAGTTTTTTGAAAGTATAACTTTGGTGTTATTCAAGTGGAACTAATCTTGTGCCTAACATGGACAAATGCTTCCAGAATGGGGTGCTTATTCCTCTAGTATTTCAGGAGATTTTATATATCTTACTTTATATATTGCCACATTTCTCATTTCTTCTACTAAACTTTTTGAGAAAAGACATTGATCTCTGAGCTTGCAGGCTAATTCTGCCCACTGCCAGCAATTCAATTCTGGTTGGCTCAAGGTTGCCTCAGCCTTCCATCCTTCCAAGGTCAGTAAAATGAGGATCCAGATTGTTAGGGGCAACATGCTGGCTCTGTAAACCACTTAGAGAGGACTGCAAAGCACCGTGAAGCAGTACATATAAGTCTTAAGTGCTGTTGCTCTTGCTATCTTTCATAACCCTAGCTGATCAACCTATACCTGTTATTTTTATGGATGGTTACTGAGTATTTGAGCAATTCATTAAGCAATTGCCATGGTTCCAAAATAGGAATCATACAAAAATGGAGATTTTACATCAATGTTTTTCACACTGATTGATTAATTCTGGAAGTTGAAGTCCACACATCTTAAAGTTGCTAAGTTGGAAAAACACCCTTATGTATGGAAAAATGAAAATCAAAGAAATTGCAAGTTAAGTTGATTGTAAATATCTTTGTATCGATTGCAACTTTGTATAATACATTTGGATCATCATTTAACTGCCACCCATTAAGCTGCAAATCTAACCTCACTTCTACTAACCTGTCTTTGCCCTTCCTCACAATGCCAGCCAATGAGGATCCATGTTGGAAGGTATGTTTTTGTCCATTACTACAAACTGTTTCAATCACAGCATGTTTTTCTGCAAAGAGTAATTTATATGTGAGTCCTGCAACATACTTTCCTTACTGCCATGATCCACACCTTCCATTGACTCAAGAGCCACCTGGGCTTTTCGCAGCATCATGACCCGAGAAAAGCTTCATAAAATGGACAGGACCAAGGGCTACATTAGATTGGATTCCTCCTCCTCCTCTGGGGAATTCTGGGCGTTGAAGTTCACACATCTGAAAGTTGCAAAAATGGAAAAACATCTTGGATTTTCCAGAATTTAGTCACTACTTCAGCATAGGCAGATTAAGGGCAGCGTCTGAAGTTGGATTGCAAGAGGTTGTGTTACCGTTTCAGGAAGACAGAGGTGGTTTATTCAGTCTTATTTGGATGTTCCATGTAACTGATGGTTTTAGTGTGAATCACAACTTGCCTAAATCAAAAACAAAACAGTAAATTCATAAAATCTTTTCTATAATAAAAAACATGTTTATCTTTCTATAAAAACCAAAAACCAAATTAGTCTCATTTCAGTAAGTCAGTAAGTCACATTTATTCTGAACTGCAAAATATATGAATTCAAAAGTTAATAGATTTTTAATTCTCCTAGTAGTAATTATTCATTGCCCATAGATTAGCAAAGCAATTTAATTTGACACACTATTTTGAGATATTGTGGTTGTTTTTTCAGCATTTATATTTCAGGCTTCAATCTCCAAAAAGCTCCCTTAGTGCTTTGCAAAGATAAATAAGAAGACATTTGCTATTCCCGGCCTTACAATTACACTTTTCTTCTGATATTTTGTTGTAAGTGCATCCATGAAATAGGAGTTTAATTCAGTTTGGTCGGCCGTGAAGCTTCAGTTCTTTTCCCTGGATGACTATTAGGAGAAAGAAAGATCAACACTGTCCATTATCTTTATGTACATATAAGACTCTGGATAATTTGATGTTGCTTGCAGACTTTTGTATCTTGTCCTGCTTAATTTGGGCACATAGGTTTTTAACTGTATTTTTAAATTATATATTTAAAATACTGCAATTGCCCAGTGTATTTTCAGAGTCAAGCAGCCTTGAAAATCAAACAAACAAACAAACAAACAAATAAATAAATCTTTAATCAAACTGCAATGCTGCAGCCTTTCCATTCTGATATGGGTCTTTTTCAGTTCCTTTATCATTCTGAGAAGCAAAGATTTTTAAAAAAAGAAAATTATTGAAAGTTCTCATTTTGAGATAGATGATTAATAGTTTATATATATTAGGACAATGCAACAGAGGCAATTCTATTTTTGATTAATTTCATCACAATTCCAAGTGTGTAATTTCTATCTTTCACAGCTGTTGTGGACTAAATTGGCATTTTCATTGCATTGTCAATCAGGACCACCAGATTCCTTCCTTGATTAAAGCATCTGAGAGATACAGGCATTTGCAGAGTATGTGGCCATGAACAAATAACACTTCTTTGAACCATTAAAGCAGCTATGTTACTGGGAACCTTCAGTGTACACAATTGACCCCCAAATTTCTTTTGTTAAGTGAGTTTTGCCCCATTTTACTAGCTTTCTTGCTGCACTTATTAAGTGAAACAGGCTTCCCCAGACTTGTATGTCTTCAAGTTGTATGTCTTATGTCTTCAAGGGAGCCACCTGTAGTGGCTTTCACTCCCTGTTCCTCAGAATAATGAACACCTGCCTCAAGACATTCATATTTAGTTGCAAGGCATAGTGATAATTAGTGGTCTTTGATGTGATCCTTGGAGGAAAGCTTGTGAATAAACAAGTACTAATAAAGGAGAATATTTGTAGCTCAGGATTGACATGAGAGGTCCTTGTGCTCTCTGAGCTAGGTTGTTTTCTTGCAGTTACCCAAACTAGGTAACACCATCAGTGCTAGCAGTAACATCTGCAAGAAAACAATCCAGCTCAGAGAGCATCAAGGACCCCTGATGAATAAACAAGCATACTGGTGAAATGTTGAGGGATATGGTGGCCTAATTAATGCTTGTTTAGTAAAATGCGGGCCCCACAAAAATCTATTTCTGTTTTTGAGGAACCGCTTCAACTTTACCCTTGCCATGTTTCAGAATGAGGTCAGCCATGAGGAATACTGTTCAGCATGCAAGCATGGTGCCAACTTACAACCTTGTGGAACATGCTCCAGGGCCTATCACCTCAGCTGCTTGGATCCTCCCTTGAAGAGCGTTCCTAAAGGAGCATGGGTCTGTCCCAAGTGCCAAGAAAAGGTAAGCTACTTGGCACTGCAGGTACTAAACAAAGAATCTCTGAGATGTGAACTCTATTTAATTTTGATAAGATAGAGTTGTATGATGTATTCATCTTTTCCACAACAACTTTCTTTCTCGTTTGAGGATAAATTATGACCTCAATAGCCATGCTCCCATTATAAGATTCCTATGAAGACTGATGTTTCATATCTTCAGTTGAAACAGTATTTGGAGTTGAAAACAGAGCTGTTTAGCCACCAGACTGTCAATATGATCAGAAAATCCCATTCCAAAATCCAGAAGGCGGCTGCTACTTGCTCGAAACAAGGAAGTCAGCCTCAAAAATGGGATGTTTCCACTTAGAACCAATGAAGACTTAAAACTTTTTGCACATTATAATTTGCAAAATATTTTCCATATCTTGTTCATTTTATCAGCTGTTGTGCAAAATAAATAATCACTTTTCTTCTTTCTACGGATGGGCATAAACATTTGTTTCTGAAGTATGCCTGCTTTTTCTTATCAGAAATTTTTTAGGATTTATTTACTCTAGAATTATTGTCATACCGAATGTAAAAAACAAAGTATTGTGTGATAGAAAAGGTGATAATATTTCTTCCTTCAAGAAATTCTAGATCGTTCTTCTGTGGGAAAACATCTTTAGTACAGCAATTTACATAACCTGGTACTTACCAAAATCCTTTTCAAATGCATATTATTAAAAAGGCGCTTTAATTGCATTGTTACATCCACTGTCTTGATTTTTTGGACAGCTACTCCCATGGCCATTTCAGATATGATTATTAAATAATAAGGCCTCTCTCTGTCAAGATATGGCCAGTTCCTAAATATAATAAATAAATCAAGACAGACCTGCAGAATGTTTGCCACAATCAAAGTAGTGAAAAAAAGAATCTCCCTCATTTATTTGCTGATTTAATATATTGATAGATTATTTTAAAGTATAGAACAAAACTTGAAAATTATATATTCGAGTTGAAAAATGGAAAAAAATAACAAAGACAGATAACAGTAACAGATAAGAGATAATCAGAGTTGGAAGGAGCCTTGTAGGTCATCTAGTCCAACCCTCTGCCCAAACGGGAGACCCTACACCATTTCTGATAAATGACAGTCCAATTACTTCTTGAAAGTTTCAAGTGATGAAGCTCCCACAACTTCAGAGGGCAACTTCTGTTCCATTGGTTGATTGTTCTCACTGTCAGAAAGTTTCTCCTTATTTCCAGGTTGAATCTCTCCTTGTTCAGTTTCCATCCATTATTCCTTGTCTGGCCTTCAGGAAAATGGCTTGACCCCTTCCTCCTCTCTATGGCAGCCCCTCAAATATTGGAAGACTGCTATCCTGTCTCCCCTGGTCCTTCTCTTCCCTAGACTAGCCAAGCCCAGTTCCTGTAACCGTTCTTCCTATGCCTTAGCCTCCAGTCCCCTAATTCTGGTTGCTCTTTTCTGTACTTTTTCTGGAGTCTCAACATCTTTTTTATAATGTGGTGACCAAAACTGGATGTGGTCTTACTAAGGCTTTATGGAGTGGTATTAGTACCTCACTTGATCTTGATTGTATCCCTCTGTTAATACAGCTTAGGATTATATTAGCTTTTTGACTGCTGCTGCACACTGCTGGCTCATATTTAGCTGGTTGTCCACTAAGACTCACAGTTACTGCTATTGAGTCTGGTTTCACCCAGTCTATACGTGTACTTTTGGTTTTTCTTGCCTAAGTGTAGGACTTTACTTTTCTCTATATTGACTTTCATTTTGTTAGATACAGCCCAGTGTTCTAGTCTGTCAAGATCCATCTGGATCTTGAGCCTATCTTCTTGGGTGTTAGTTATTCTTGCCAACCTAGTATCATCTGCAAATTTGGTAAGTTCCCCTTCTATTCCCTCCTCTAAGTCGTTAATGAAGATATTGAAGAGTACTGGGCCTAAGACAGAACCTTGTGGCACCCCACTGCTTACTTCCCTCCCTGTAGACTTAGACCGATTAAAGACTACTCGTTGAGTATGGTTTGCCAGCCAGTTGCGAATCCATCTAGTGGTGCTGCTATCTATTCCACTTTTTTCTAGCTTACTAAGAAGTAGGTTGTGGTCTACTTTGTCAAATGCCTTGCTGAAATCTAAATATATTATGTCCACAGTATTTTGCTGGTCTACTAATTTAGTCACTTTGTTGAAGAATGAAATAAGATTGATCTGGCATGAGCTGTTCTTAACAAACCGGTGCTGACTGCTAGTTATTACTTGTTTCTAGATGTTGGTAGATCTGTTTTTATTATCCTTTCCAGTATCTTCCCGGTATTGACGTTAGGCTGATTGATCTATAGTTTCCTGGGTCTGGTTTTTTTTCCCTTTTTTGAAGATGGGAACCACATCAGCTCTTTTCCAGTCCTCTGGTAGTTCCCCAGTGCTCCAGGACTTTTGAAAGATATAGTGCAGTGGTTCTGAGATGACCTCTGCCAGCTCCTTTAAAACTCTGGGATGTAATCCATCAGGCCCCGGTGATTTGTGTTCATCAAGATCAGACAGGTGTTCTCTTACTATTTTTTTTGCTTATTTTAACTTTTATTTCTGTTCTGTCTTTTACAGTTATGTTTTTGGTGGGTTGAGCTATAGTTTCTTTTTGCGTGAAGACGGATGCAAAGAACGAGTTAAGCAGTTCTGCTTTCTCTCTTTAGCGGGCTGACTGTTTCCTTGATTTTTTTCTTGTTATTTATATGTTGGAAGAAACTTTTTTAAATTATCTTTGTCTTTTGTTGCAAGTCTTTGTTCATTCTGAGCCTTTGCTGTCCTGACTTCGTCTTTGCAGATTCTGGCTATCTGCTGATAATCTGTCTTAGTTGTATGTCCTTCTTTCAATTTTTTGTACTTGTCCTTTTTTTCTTTCAATTTGCCAGAGAGATCTTTGTGCAGCCATGCTGGTTTCTTCTTGGATTTCTTGTTTTTCTTTCTCAGTGGTATTATGCTGGTCTGGGCTTCTATGATCATACCTTTTAGAGTTTCCCAAGATTCTTGAGTTGTTTTCCCCTTTAGGATTTTCATCCATGGAATCTTTCCCAAGTTCTCTCTGAGTTTATTAAAATCAGCTCTTTTAAAATCCAAGACACAACATTCCTGCAGAGAAATCTTAGATCTTAAACACTTTTAGCAGGTACTTAAAAGATATACAGTAATTGTGAATCCCTCACCGATTTTAAGACAGGGGATATCTCCAAGTGTGGGAGTATTACATATATTGTATTATATTCAATATACATATGAAATAAGAGAAATGGGTGACTGCATAAATTTACCAAATAAATAAAGAATAAATATTCTCTTAGACCTTTCTTGAATTATAGAAATTTAAGTTTTCCCCATGGAGAATCCAGGTACTCCCCGACTTACAACCGATCACTTAGTGACTATTCAAAGTTCCAATGGCTTTACTTCAGGGGTACTTATGATCCACATTTGAAGTTCCAACAGTTTCTCACTCTATGGTCAAATGACAGCACTTCAGGCATTCGGCAACTGAGCTGCGTTTATTGACACTTGCAACATCCTGCAACATCACATTACTATGTTTTATGACAGTTTTGCAAAAAAAACCCAACAACCCAGCATTGCTTCCATTTTGAGGCAAAATCACATCCATAGTAAACCCCTGGTTCTCATAATAACTGTGCTGTTCACTTAACAACTGCCACAAAAGGTCATAAAGTTGGCTCGGTCACATGATATAACTTGGGGACTACCTGTGTAGGAAATAAAATTTGCTTGAGAGATTCCAACTGTTTTTTAGGCTCTCTGCTTCTCACAGGGATATCCCAGGAGAGATTATCATTCCCAGATTTACTTTTTTTTAATTTATTTTATTTGGCAATCGCTTACAAGATAATAGGAATAAGTATAAACATGAATAAGAATACAGGAAACAGGTGTGAATAAATGGGGACAATAGGACAGGGACAGTAGGCACGATTGTGCACTTATGCACGCTCCTTACAGATCTCTTAGGAAGCAGATTTTATTGAAGCAGATTTTCTCTTGAGACAAGGCAAAAGATACCTTTAGTGGTTATGATAATGACAAAGTATTTCATTGTCAACACAGGCATGTTGAACGTCTTTATGCAGTTTGGGCACTGCATATATGGTGGCTGGCAACCAGTTTGAGTGGCTTGGGGAGATATTTACTAGATGGATAAAACAGAGGATATTTTCCTATTCTCCATAATAAAAGAGGAAAAGAGAGTTTTTACATTTTTTCCATAAGATCTCCCATGAATTTTTATTTTGCAAACCACTTGAGCCAGTGTTGTGTACCTGTTGGGTATTTCTGATATGACCAACTTTTGATTAAGAAAACTGAGGGGAGGAGAAGATGAGGTGCTCACAAATGTTGTGTCCTAGCTGTGTCCTTGAATTGCTGAAAGCTGTTATTATCTGAAACCTGTAGGTGTTAAAGAAAGATGACAATGTCCCCTGGTCTGGAACTCTGGCTGTGGTGCAATCATACGTTACTCATAAAACAGGTATGTGCTGAAGTGATTGATTATTAGATAGAGTTTCTCAAATGTCAGCAGCTTGAAAATTGAAGTCACCCCAGGGGTGGATTGCAAGCTACTCTGAAGGCATGTGCCCATCTAAATGTAACAGGAATGGTCAGACAAGAACTTTTATCCAACAGCTGTTCTTAATACAATTTACACTGGAGACAAAACTATTTTGCGAGAGAGAGAGACAGACAGTGGATGAATTCAGATGTCTTCCTAACGTATTTATTTGAAAACATGTTTTGCTCGTTTTTACCTTAATTCTCACGTCTTTTGCACTTTCTAGACTTTTTTAGATGTTGCCCTTTAGAATCCTAAAAGGTGACAGCATATAAATGTATAGATCAGGGGTGTCAAACTCATAGCCTGTGGGCCAGATGTATCACACACAAGCCACGCCCATGCCCAATTTAGCGAAGGGAAAAAGTCGTGTCACGATGCTATGATGATGTGAGTTTGACACCCTGGTATAGATCGATCAGTCAGTGGCCTGAAATTGGGAAATCTCTTTGCCAACTATGGAATGGAACATTATACAGTACAAGTGGTCCTCGCTTCAGAACTACTCCATTTATTGATCATTCAAAATTAGGATGATGCTGAAAAGTTGATTGATCGACCTTTGAACATGGGACTCTTACAGCATCCCCGTGGTCGTATGATTGTGATTCAGACTGTTGGCAACTGGCACACATTTGTGATGGTTGCAGCATCCCACAGTCACATGATCAACGTCTGCAAGCTTTCCAGCTGGCTTCTGATAAGAAAAGTGATACTGTACTTAATGCATGTGGGTGAATTGTGATTAACAATCTTGGCAGAACTAAAGTTATGAGCCATGGTGGTGCAGTGGTTAGAACACAGTACTGCAGGCTACTTCTGTTGACTGCCTTCTAAAATGGCAGTTTGAATCTCACTAGGCTCAAGGTTGAGTAAGCCTTCCATGGTGGGTAAAATGAGGACCCAGATTGTTGGGGACAATAGGCTGACTCTACAAACTGCTTAGAGAGGGCTGTAAAGCACTGTGAAGCGGTATATAAGTCTAAGTGCTATACTACTGTGATTTGGGCTTGGTGCTATGATATTTCACTTAATGACCATGCCACTTACTGACAATGTCCCCAGTCCTAACTGCAGCTGGTAAGTGAGGACTTCTTTGTATTCTCTTGTTAATCTCATTGCAGCCATTGAATTGTATGAGAAAAAAATGTGAATTAATTGAAGAATTTAAGAATCTTGTTTATATAGACTCTTATACACTGCTCAAAAAAATAAAGGGAACACTTAAACAACACAGTGTAACTCCAAGTCAATCACACTTCTGTGAAATCAAACTGTCCACTTAGCTAGCAACACTGATTGACAATCAATTTCACCTGCTGTTGTGCAAATGGAATAGACAACAGGTGGAAAGCATAGGCAGTTAGCAAGACATCCCCAATAAAGGAGTGGTTCTGCAGGTGGTGACCACAGATCACTTCTCAGTTCCTATGCTTTCTGGCTGATGGTTTGGTCACTTTTGAATGCTGGTGGTGCTGTCACTAGTGGTAGCATGAGACGCCGTCTACAACCCACACAAGTGGCTCAGGTAGTGCAGCCCATCTAGGATGGCACATCAATGCTGTGGCAAGAAGATTTGCTGTGTCTGTCAGCGTAGTGTCCAGAGCATGGAGGCGCTACCAGGAGACAGGCCTACATCAGGAGACGTGGAGGAGGCCGTACATAGGAGGGCAACAACCCAGCATCAGGACCGCCACCTCCTCCGCCTTTGTGCAAGGAGGGACAGGAGGAGCACTGCCAGAACCCTGCAAAATGACCTCCAGCGGGCCAAAAATGTGCATGTGGCTGCTCAAACTGTCAGAAACAGACTACATGAGGGTGGTATGAGAGCCCAACGTTCACAGGTGGAGGTTGTGCTTACAGCCCAACACTGTGCAGGATGTTTGGCGCTTGCCAGAGAACACCAAGATTGGCAAATTCGCCACTGGCGCCCTGTGCTCTTCACACTGAGCACATGTGACAGACGTGACAGGGTCTGGAGATGCCGTGGAGAACGTTCTGCTGCCTGCAACATCCTCCAGCATGTCCGGTTTGGCAGTGGGTCAGTAATGGTGTGGGGTGGTATTTCTTTAGGGGGCCGCACAGCCCTCCATGTGCTCGCCAGAGGTAACCTGACTGCCATTAGGTACCGAGATGAGATCCTTAGACCCCTTGGGAGACCATATGCTGGTGCGGCTGGCCCTGGGTTCCTCTTAATGCAAGACAATGCTAGACCTCATGTGGCTGGAGTATGTCAGCAGTTCCTGCAAGACGAAGGCATTGATGCTATGGACTGGCCCACCCGTTCCCCAGACCTGAATCCAATTGAGCACATCTGGGACATCATGTCTCGCTCCATCCACCAACACCACGTTGCACCACAGACTGTCCAGGAGTTGGGGGATGCTTTAGTCCAGGTGTGGGAGGAGATCCCTCAGGAGACCATCCACCACCTCATCAGGAGCATGCCCAGGCATCGTAGGGAGGTCATACAGGCACGTGGAGGCCACACACACTACTGAGCCTCATTTTGACTTGTTTTGAGGACATTACCTCAAAGTTGGATCAGCCTGTAGTGTTTTTTTCCAATTTAATTTTGAGTGTAACTCCAAATCCAGACCTCCATGGGTTGCTAAATTTGATTTCCATTGATAATTTTTGTGTGATTTTGTTGCCAGCACATTCAACTATGTAATGAACAAAGTATTTAATAAGAATATTTCATTCATTCAGATCTAGGATGTCTTATTTTTGTGTTCCCTTTATTTTTTTGAGCAGTGTATATCTGGAGTATATTGTCTGGATCATGTCTGCATGCAAAGCGGGCACTGGATTGAGATCAGTGCTGACATTTGCTTGTTCCTATCATATTGTTGGGCTTCCAGCCATATTGAAAAGCTGAGCAAATTGACACAATTAAAATGTTAAAAAGTTATGATATTTATTTAGTTCCTTACCAAGCACATCTAAATTATATTGAAGTAACCAAAATATCTTTACAATCCCCAAGGCAAGTCACAACTTTTGAGCACCCCTGATGTTTGGAAATTGAAAGTTGAAAAATTTGACACACCCTAAATAGTAATTAGCTTCTAGCCATATTGAAAAGCTGAGCAGATTGACACCATATAAGTAATTAGCTGAGCTTCTTTACCTGTGGTAGAATCTTTGGGCAGAACTCCAGCCTCGTCCCTTCTCCAGAACAACACTCATTCTTCTCTGGGACAATTTTGGAGGCTGGGGCTACTCTTCTATCTTGGCTGGCTGGCCCGTTGGAGATAGTCTTTGTCTAATACACAAAAACCATGTCAGGTAGGAAAAGCTGCCAGCCATGTGACATGGCCTTGAGTGAAGGAAGATCTTGTTGAAGTGGGGAAGGCCATTGCCTCTTCTGCATCACCCCTAGTTGCTGCCCCAAGGACCTGTCCAGTTCTTTCCAGATGCATTTGGCTCATCTGCTGTGTTTGGTAGAAAGTGTCATTATCTTCCTTGCTTCTGTTTGTGTCTTTTTCAGTCAAAGAAGAAGAGAAGAGGAGGCTATTAAAGAGGAGCAGTGAATTAAGAGGAGAACACAGACAGCTGGAGGAAAAAGAATGCTTTCTTAATAATGCAATGAAGGTATAATTCCCAGCTTGTTTCTTATCTCAGGGCCCACGGGAGACAAAGAGACAAATGGGAAGGTTTCTCAGAATTTCAGGCGAGCTAGAAGATGGTAGCCAAAGACAATGCTCCTTCAAGAGCAATTTTAAGAAAACAAGACTTTGCAAGACATTATAGTCAATTGTCCTTTAAGCCCCATTAGGTCATTATTAGGCATTTCATTTTCACCATTGACTTCTTTACAGCTTCTCCAATGCTGCATTGCTAGCAGGTTAAAAAAAAAGAGACTTTTTGCCAGTCATGCTGGTTACTCCACCAACAGGCCATTGAGGATTACTTGGCTGTAAAATACTTCTTTAGAACACATACACATTTCTCTGGCTTCTTACTGGTCTGTCTACTAACCAGATTATACTATGTATACCTCCATTTGTACAGCTGTTTCTTTAGCAATGGTTCAGAGTTAAAATGGCACTGGAAAAAGGTGTTTTATGGCTAGTCCTCCCCCTTATAATCATCCCAACATCACCACAGTCACTTGATCAAAATTTGGGCACTTGGCAACGGGCATGTTTTTGGAGAGTTGCTGCATCCCAGGGTAATCATGTGATTACCATTTCTAACCTTCCCAGCTGGATTCTGATAAGGAAAAGATGATGTTTTTGTTGTTGTTATGTCCCAGGGGCTGTCAGATAATGAATGGTAGAATTTTTGGGAGAGAGGAAGGTGGTAGTTTGTGGTTTGTGTTAGGGTCCATCTCCAGTGGCATGGGTTGGGGCTTACATGTGACTTCCCTGGGAACGGAGACTTTTTGAGTCTGCAGCACAGATCTCCTGATCTCTGAGTACATTTATCTCTGCTGCTTTGGGGACAGGTGTTGAGCGATGATGGAACCTGGTTGTTAGCTTGGATACTGTTGCTACTGATGACACTTCCCCCCCAAAATTTTGGACCTGCTGGTGAATAAGTGGAGAGTGGTCTTCTGGAGTAAAGACTTTGAGGCTATCAATGGAATGATTTGCCTCCAGACATTGTGGATGCTCCAAGACTGGAGATCTTTAAAGAAAAGATTGGACCACCATTTGTCTGGAATGGTATAGAGTTTCCTGCCTAAGGAGAGAGTTGGACTGGAAGATTTCAAGATCTCTTCCAACTCTGTTATTCTGTTCAAGATTTGCTCTTTCTTGGTCATTTGGACTTGAAGGTTCAAGAGAATTGGTTGGTAGGAATCAGGTTGGGAAGACAAAGAAGCTGGGCTAGTGCCCCTGTGGAATATCTCAGCTCTCTAGTGGGCAGTTTTCTTTAATCTCTGCTGAGTAACTGGAGTAGGAGGTGAACTGGGCACTGGACATTCCTGCCCTTGAGTGGCCTCCCTGTGATGGCCAATCTAAGGAGGCTCTCAGAAAGATAAAAGTACCAGAAATGATACCTGGAGTGTTAGATAAAGAAAGCGAAAAAGAAATCTGACTGAACATGTCACTATAGTGATAAGGGAATCAAAGCATTGTTGCTGCTTCTTTTCCATTTAATATATATATATATTGGAAGACTGTTGTTCAGTGGTCTTGTTCAGAGTTACAAACTCATTGCTGCACTGAGATAATCTTGTAATCTTCTGCCTGGTCTTTGTGACCAGATTTATTTATTTATTAAATTTATATGCCACCCATCTCTCTTAAGACGACTCTGTGCACAGAGTCGCTCAAATTTGTTGTAATCTTGCCTCTTCATCGACAAGTTGATCAGGGCATTGTCACGAGCTGTTTTCTGGCCGCCCTTTTAGCCTGTGATCTCCAGAAGTGGATGACAGGGGTCTTTGTGATCTTCTGTCACTTACTGTTTGGACTCCTGCCAATTCCAACTAGTGTGGAAAAGAGGTGGAATTGTCCATGCCAAGTCTCCAATTGTGGGAGGGAGGAGTCATCTGCATCTTGAAAAAAGTTTCACCCCCTTTTGAAGAGACATCCCTAGAACCAAGAATCCTGGGAATTATTGGCTGGTCTCTAGCTTCTCTTTGTAGGGAAGGTTGTTGACGAGATAAAAGGTGATCATCTTCTCAGTATCCCACAAGCAGCAGGACTCTTTTTAATCTGAATTCAAATCCAGGTGCAGACTGGAGACGGTACTGGTTATTCTCCTGGATGATCTGGGTTAAACCCTGGATGGAATATGCCCTGTTCCTGATCTAATTGGATCTCTCAGCCACATTTCCTATCACCAGCCATGATATTTTGTTGGACAGCCTGCTGGCATGGAGGATAGGAAACAATATTTTGTGGTGGTTCTGCTTCTTCTTCAATGTATGGCTTTAATCTACTGTAGTAGTTGAAGAGAAGACTGCCCGGTTTACTGCAATATGTGGGGCCCTGCAGGGTTCTTAACGTCTTTATGAAGCTGTGAAGAAAGCTCATTTGACGGGTTTGGTAATGAGCATCATTGGTGTGCTGATGATACTCCGTTATACATTGAAGTCTGGGCTGTGAAGGGACCTGTTTCAAAGTTCTTTCATGGTATTGAAACCAGGATCTGGACGGGAGATAATAAACTGAAACTGAACTCTAGTAAGTCAGGGTTGCAGCTGATGCATCAGAGTTCTCTGTCATCACTAGACTTGTTCCTTGGCGAGTAAGCCCTACCCATCAGAGGCCACCTTCGGCACTCATGACTCCTGCTTAAACAGCAGGTGGAAGTTGTGGTCAGAGGGACCCATGGCTAGCTTCCACTGGTGATTTAGTTGTGATCTTACCTGATGTGGCAGAACCTGGCTACAGTCATTCATGTCCTCATTACCAACTTGGTAGCATGCACTGCTTGATGTTGCTTTTAAAGAGCACTCAAAAACTTGACTTGTCCAAAATGCAACCCATGTGCTTTTCAGCTCCTGGCACTGGAAGCATATAATACTGTTTTTGTAGACTCCACACTGGCTGCAGATCCATTTCCCAGTATAATTTAAAGTACTGTTTTTGGCCTATAATACTTTTTATAGACTGGCACCCAGATACCTGCAGAACTCCACCAGTACTAGAATAACCAGGAGAAAACTGCTGCAGATCCCACATTTTTGAGAAGTTAAGGTTGGTGGTGGCTGAAGTGAGAAGGTACTGCTTTTCTTTGGCGGTGCCAGTGCTTTGGAACTATTTCTGATAGAGGCAGGTTGTCTCCTTCCCTGCTGACCTCCTGCAATGGTTGAAATTTCACAGGAGGTATCCTCTGAGTTTACCTGTACCACAAACTTTTCTTTTTGCATCTGATTGCTTTATTTTTGTGTAGGTTTCTTTGTTACATGTCAGTTTGTGTTTGTTTTATTTGTCATTATGACATTTTGATTTTTGTATATTTCATGTGATCCTCCAAGAGCAATAGGAATGTCTTTAATAAAAATATAATAAAATAATATACATGATTTTTTTGACTTTTCATTTTTAGAATCCCGGCAGTTGCCCCATTCAAATAATAACCAGAGCGGGCTGTGCTCATTTATTTATTTGTAGAATTTCTATCCTGCCTTTTTTCATGAGGAAATCAGTCAGATAAAGGTGATCTTAATAAACTGTATGTTACTTCAGAGTGAAACTGGTTTGGAAAACAATCTCTGTATTAAATTATGTCGTTATGCCACCAAGAAGAAATAGGAAAGGGAGGGAAAATCTGTTTTTAAGTGCCCTGGCTGATATTCTAGCCATAAGGATGTCGCAGGGCAACTATCTTTGTTGCAAGTCCTCCGTGGCGTCCATTTGCTGAGGGATGCTTTGATCGTTTCTTGTGGGTGATTCCTTACTCTTGTCTTTCCATTTCTAATTTGACAGAAATGCCTAGAGATCAAAAACAGCCTGTTGGCCCAACAGAAAGGGGTTCAATCATCGCTGGAACACCTCAAAACTCTCATTAGACTGATACAGAATGAGCAGATGCTTCAGGTTACCATGACAACAACCACCACCTCCTCCTCCTCCTCCTCCTCCCTGCTGACTGTCCCCTGGACCAAACCATCCTCTGCCTCGGCTGCCGCTGCTCCCCAACCCTTGCAGTCGACACAGGGCAACAACTGACAGGGGGGGGCTGCCCTCCCCTCCCCCCCCATTGGTGGGTTTCCCCCCCTCCACAAAAAACACACTTTTCTTCAGAAGAGAAACCAATCCAGCCAGCAAGAACACTTTTAAGTGCATGCAGGCCTACGGAGAGAAAAAAAAGATGCATCCAGAAAAATAAAAACCTGGGAAAACAAGAAAGTGACATTGGTCTTCTTCCATGTACTGAAAGTTGTGTGGGGGGAAAAAATAGTAATAACAATCCCGCCATTGAGTCCCGTTCCCCACACCCCCACCCCCCTTGGCAGCTCAATGTCATTATTTCCTCCTCTCTTTTTTTTTTCATTGCTGGGAATCTCAGTGCTTACAATCCTCCTTTCCCTTCGTTTGGTTGCTTTGGCCTTAATGTAATTAATGCAGAAAAGGATGCCGCGTGGATGGAAGACGGGCGGCCTGGACAGGCGGAAGGGGCCTGCTAGAAGATGCAGAGAGGTGCAAAGAAGCTGCTCTTTGGGAAGAGAAAATAGGTTGAAAAGCAAACCATTGGTGCGCTAGGGCAGATAGATAGTAGATACAGGCACCGAGAATGAAAAATGGTGACTTTTTCTTTTTTTTTAAAAAAATAGCATAGATTCCTGATTTTTTTTTAATTAAAAAAAAAAGGATCAAGTGTCGTCTTCATTCAGGGCTATAGAGAAGTTACATTTGTGGACACTTTCAGAGCCTTCAAAATCAAATCTTTTTTTTCAGTATTATAATTGCAGATATTTAAATAAAAATGTATGAAATTTTACCATTTCTAGTGAAATATTGAAGTATTTTCATGCTGAGGCTTCTGTATATGCATTCTGAAGTATTGAAAGAGTTAATGCCTGTATAAAACCCTTCATTTCAGCGGCTCCTCTTAACTTATTTTGCTATTGATGTATTTTTCTCATTGGGGATGGTTTTTTTTTGGGGGGGGGGTCTGCTGTTGTTCGAGGTTTAACAATGATAGTAGTGAAAAATTATTTTAATCAGTTGGATCTTTTTAGTTGGGGGGGTCTTTTCAGGGCTGTCCATAGATAGGGTCAAAAAAGGCAGGATGGCAGCTGGGACAATGCAATCAGGGCTCATCTGTTTCGTACTGATTGCACTTCATGGCTGCCATTTTGATTTTTTTTTTTTACCTCATCCTGCAGCACATGGCTGGTTTTGAACCCTTCCTTCCTTCCTTCCTTCCTTCCTTTTTGTTTTTTTTTGAAGGAAGAAAGCAAATAATATTCATTATTGCTGCTTTTTATTTTATCAAAACAGTACAAATGATATGCCAAAAAACTTAACTCTTTTGTACTGCATTTTTATTGTAAAATAGGAAATGTGGGAAAATGTTGTTTGTTTGTTTGTTGTTTTCCCTTACTTTGCAGAACTATCTGCTAAAATTTACAAGAAAGGAAATAAACTGCCTCAAGTGGTCATTTCTTTTATTGGATATATCAGGAGTTTGGGGGTGGGAGTATCTGATTGTGAAAACTTTTTTTTAAAACCTTTTTATAATTTTGTTAAATTTGAGCACGTGTAAAACATTAGCTTTAGCTTGAGAAGATGCTAGAAAATTGCCTATATTTCATTTGACTTTTCACTAGCTAGTCTTCCTGAAGCAACCAAGCTCAGATTGGGCACAGTATAGGTCAGATAGCCTATGCTAGCGCCTTGAGGCTTAACCTCTCAAGTTTTTGATGTGCAAATGAGTTTCTGGTCAGTGTGGCTTTCCCATTTTATAGCTCTGTTTCTCCTTTGCCTCCAATTTCAGAATTCAAGGGTTGAAGGGGAAATTCAAAGTTTTTCTGAGGGATATAATAAAGATTAAATTGAAAGTAGCAGAGTATTTTAATAGCGTTGGTTAAGTTTACTTTTTTTTTTTAGCAGAGGAATTGGGGCTGTTTAATTTTTTTTTTAAGGCAGCCTATGGATTCACAGACATGGCCAAAAATATAAGTGCTCCTGAGAACTAATATGGTCATCCTTGCAAGAAGGGCAGTGAGAAATACGGCTCCTGCCCCCTCCTCAATGGCGCCCCGAATTTAGCTCTGTCAAAAATCAGGCTCTGTCTCTGTGTGCCACAGGTGAGGCTTCTCACCTTTGCCTCTCATACTGTGCCGAAAAGCTAATTTTTTGTTTTGTTTTGTTTTTTGATGGATTGGAAGCTGCCCACAGAAGGCAGCACACAAGCCCTTTTATCCATTTTCACAACTCCGGGAGAAACTGTGCAGTACTATACAAATCTATTTTAATACACTTAACACTCTGTTGAACAAGATTTTTATATTCTTTTATTGATGAACAAAAGTGAACTAAGTAAAAATACAGTTGCGATACATTGGTTAGATATATCAATTTATGCATTTGAACATAGCTTGCAATGTAAATGTTTTGGGGATTTTATGTTTTTCTTCTCAGATGAATTTAAGAAAAATAAGGGGGGGGGAGCATAGAAAGTTTTTTTTTTTAAATTGGGAAAACTTTCTGAAAAAGTGCTTTTCTGGGACTCTTAAAAAGTAGTTATTTTGGAAAAGGGACTGTCCCGTGGATAGTGTGCATAGAAAACAAATTGTTTGTCTTAAATATACCAATGTAGTTTACTTCTATAAGATGAATTAAACTTGACTGACAGATTTAAAAACTGGTGTGGTCACTGAGGTGTACTTGTATTTTTCCAACCTTGCATGTGTTTTCTTGTAATTTAAATAAGAATTATTTTGCCATCGTTTCTGTTACTACTGTTCTCTACCTTTTTCTTCTTAAGCCTTTAAGACGAAAAGTTCTTCTCTCCAACAGTCCTTAAATGAACTTTGCTTTGCACTCTCCTACATTTTCAGGTAGTGGAAGTGACAACAGATGAACAACCATTCATACAAAAATGAACTTTATAAACCAGGCACTTAAAATGTAATAAACAAAATCTATCATGCCTTTTAGTTGTCTTTAATATTTGATTTTTGCTGTTTTCTCTATATGTCAATAATCTCAAAAATAACATGTCTTTAATCTGCAATATTGCAAAGTAAAATTAGACTTTGTTAAGAGTTTGGCACATTAAAAATATACTTTTTCTTTCAAATTCAAAATGCTCTATGTTTAGGTCAAACAATGTTCTAACTTTACTGGAAATATTTGGACATTATTCCAATACTTTTAGAAATGTTCCAGGCTTTAAAAAAATCATATCTCAAGCCTGGGACATTTCCATATGGTTAAAATGGTTCTTTAAATGAGTGATTAAAAAAAAAACATCATAAACATTTTGATGTGGAAAATTTGTTTTAAAAAATGGTGGGCTATAAATTTGGAAGATTAAAAACAGATTTTCTGAGATGTCTCAATAAACCTCAGATGAACTGAAACTTTTCAAAAGGCTTCAACACCAGGTTCCCAGTGAATTTTCTGCCATATTTAGATTGCACAGGATTGTGAACATGGCTGAGTTTACCATGGCTTTCTTTTTACCCAACCCCAAAACTTTACTAAAGAAAATTTTAGTCAGTGTTGTCCTTTCAAGAAAAGGCTCTGACTGGAAATAATTTCAGTCGTTGACACCCATTTCAGCATTTTCTCCTATGATCCAAGTGAGAAGCTGGAGGTGCTTTAAAGGGAGCCTACAATGGATCAGATGAGAGCAAGTAAAGTGATTACAATCTGTTCTGCACTTCGTTGGCCAGTAACTTGTTTACAAGTCAAGTGAACTCACACAAAAAGAAGCGGTTGAGAATTCTAACATTCTGAAATTTATGGAGATTTTGGATATTATGCTAAGAGAAAAGCATCCTGATGTGTGTGTTTTTTCTTATTATTCCATTCAAGACCATTACTGTTCATTTTGTTAGCTATTTACTTACCTGTATTTAAAACAAATCATTTTTTTCTATTTTTAAAAAATTTACAGGAATTCTAGTTCACATATTTTTCCTTTCTTTTTTCTTAAACTGTCGGGACTTTGAGGTAGGAGTCAAAGTGCATTGAGAGTGGTGTACCGTAAAATGCTTCCTATTTATTAACATATAGTTAATGCATACAAAGGATTTGCAAAAGAAAATAACCAAATCCCGCATGAAAATATGGCTTATTCCTGGCATGATTTAATTTGTCCATTTGTACAAATTAAAGCATCCAAGGATGATGCACTCCTGATCTTGTATAAAATCACATTTATTTGAATTGCAGCCCCGGGGCTGAAATCTTGTGCTAAATTTGACTTTAGATGTCCTCTTCTACCTCACCCAACAGAACAAACTGGAGCCCCCAAACCCCAATAGGAACAGCATTGTGTGAGGAACTAAAGCCAGAACAGGTGAATAATTTTACAGGGAAACACAAACCAAAATGAAAAGGCAACAAATTATGCAACAAAGAAAGGCATTATTCCAACCCATCAGAAAGAAGGCTATTTCTTTTCATCTGCTTCCTTTATTAACTTGATTATAAAATGTACTATCTGTTTGTAGACAGACTCAAAAGAGATGCCATTTCACTGTTCCTGCAATCCACTTTTAAACAAATAAAGATGATTAAAGATTACATCAACATGGGCACCAAGGAGTTTCCAATACTTTGAAGGTACTGTGGAAATTCTAGTGCAAATGATTCAAATTGGTTTATTTACACTTTCTGAAGAAGAGGCTATTTTCTCAACCACTGAAAATTTAGGAAGGCTTCGATGCATCATAAAGAAGTTACAATCTCTCTTCATTCTCTTGCCATTTTATCAAGTAATATTTAAGGAAACTTTAATTTCTAAACTCTTTACTCAGAATTGGAGAATGTCAAAGCTGATGTTAAACAAAATAGACATATTTTTGCACATCCAAGTTCTCCTAAACCGATGATACATCCTGAGGTTTAATAGTCATCACATGATAGCAATAGCATTTAGACTTATATACTGCTTTATAGTGCTTTACAGCCCTCTCAAAGTGGTTTATAGAGTCAGCTTATTGCCCCCGACAATCTGGGTCCTCATTTTACCCACCTCAGAAGGATGGAAGGCTGAGTCGACCTTGAGCCT